GCTTCATTTAGCTACATTTAGCTATCGATAGCAGCTAAGCTAACGTCCTCCCTGTGCTACTGTGTTTCTGTTTTATGCTTGTATTTAAGTTGTTGTGTGTTTATTTGTTTGAGAATCCCTTTCCATAAGTGTGGAGATTACCAACGAGTAATGACCGGAGTATTCTCATCTGGACCTGGCCTGGACCTGGCCTGGACCTGGACTCAGACGGACTTTGGACTTTGTAAACTGTTGGTTTTTCACTTTACTTTTGTTTTTAATAAATGTGTGATTGTATCAGGACTGTGTTTCCTTCATGTGTCTGAACACTGCAGGGTTCAAAGGTTACAATGTCCTCCACATACTTATGTACTTTTACTACATACTTATGTACTTTTACTACATACTTATGTACTTTTACTACATACATTATATTTGTCAGTAAATCCGTATAACTGTGGTACATTTATGTACCAGCTAACATATATTAGGAAGTATGGATATGGACCATGGTTCAGGACCACAGAGATGCTGTTTATGGTTCAGGACCATGGTTCAGGACCACAGTGATGGTGTTTATGGTTCAGGACCACAGATATGGTGTTTATGGTTCAGGACCATGGTTCAGGACCACAGTGATGGTGTTTATGGTTCAGGACCACAGAGATGCTGTTTATGGTTCAGGACCATGGTTCAGGACCACAGATATGGTGTTTATGGTTCAGGACCATGGTTCAGGACCACAGTGATGCTGTTTATGGTTCAGGACCACAGAGATGGTGTTTATGGTTGAGGACCACAGATATGGTGTTTATGGTTCAGGACCACAAATATGGTGTTTATGGTTCAGGACCACAGTGATGCTGTTTATGGTTCAGGACCACAGTGATGGTGTTTATGGTTCAGGACCACAGTGATGGTGTTTATGGTTCAGGACCACAGAGATGGTGTTTATGGTTCAGGACCACAGTGATGGTGTTTATGGTTCAGGACTACAGTGATGGTGTTTATGGTTCAGGACCACAGTGATGGTGTTTATGGTTCAGGACCACAGAGATGGTGTTTATGGTTGAGGACCACAGATATGGTGTTTATGGTTCAGGACCACAAATATGGTGTTTATGGTTCAGGACCACAGTGATGCTGTTTATGGTTCAGGACCACAGTGATGGTGTTTATGGTTCAGGACCACAGTGATGGTGTTTATGGTTCAGGACCACAGTGATGGTGTTTATGGTTCAGGACCACAGTGATGGTGTTTATGGTTCAGGACCACAGAGATGGTGTTTATGGTCCAGGACCACAGAGATGGTGTTTGTGGTTCAGGACCACAGTGATGGTGTTTATGGTTCAGGACCACAGTGATGGTGTTTATGGTTCAGGACCACAGTGATGGTGTTTATGGTTCAGGACCACAGTGATGCTGTTTATGGTTCAGGACCACAGTGATGGTGTTTATGGTTCAGGACCACAGTGATGCTGTTTATGGTTCAGGACCACAGTGATGGTGTTTATGGTTGAGGACCACAGTGATGCTGTTTATGGTTCAGGACCATGGTTGAGGACCACAGTGATGGTGTTTATGGTTCAGGACCATGGGCAAAGACACATGGTCCCAGCTGGGGTCCTACCTGTCGATGATGACCGGGTCGGAGGGCGTCTCGTTGCGGTTTCCGCAGCTCTTCTTCTCACAACAGCGACTTAACAAACAAAAGGAGGAAAGTCAACAGGAGCAGACACCACATGCTCCTGGGGGCCCCACAAAGGCCCCGGCTGATGGGGGGTGCTGAGGGAGGGGGTGTGGTGAGGGGCGTGCTGACTGTGGGGGGGGGCTGACTGAGGGGGGGCCACACAAAGGAGAAGAGCCCGAACAGAACACACACAATCTCACAGCGCTCATTCAGGCTGCGCTCCTGTCCCGCTCAGACAAAGGTGCCCCCCCAGGACCATCTGCCACCCCCACAACACCCCCCCACCCTCAGCCGAGCCCCCACCACCCCCCAGACCCGAGTCCAGGCGAGCCCACCTCACAGCTGGCCCCCAGGAGCCGTGCAGCCGGTCACAGCTGTGAGGCGCTTGGGCATCTGTCACAAGCACAAAGGCCAGAGACCAGAGAGAGACCAGAGAGAGACCAGAGAGAGACCAGAGAGAGACCAGAGAGAGACCAGAGAGAGACCAGAGAGAGACCAGAGAGAGACCAGAGAGAGACCAGAGAGAGACCAGAGAGAGACCAGAGAGAGACCAGAGAGAGACCAGAGAGAGACCAGAGGGAGACCAGAGAGAGGCCAGAGAGAGACCAGAGAGAGACCAGAGAGAGACCAGAGAGAGACCAGAGAGAGAGACCAGAGGGAGACCAGAGAGAGGCCAGAGAGAGACCAGAGAGAGACCAGAGAGACCAGAGAGACCAGAGAGAGACCAGAGAGAGACCAGAGAGAGACCAGAGAGAGACCAGAGAGAGACCAGAGGGAGACCAGAGAGAGACCAGAGAGAGACCAGAAAGAGACCAGAGAGAGGCCAGAGAGAGACCAGAGAGAGACCAGAGAGAGACCAGAGAGAGACCAGAGAGAGGCCAGAGAGAGACCAGAGAGAGACCATAGAGGGACCAGAGAGAGACCAGAGAGAGAGACCAGAGAGAGACCAGAGAGAGAGACCAGAGAGAGACCAGAGAGAGAGACCAGAGAGAGACCAGAGAGAGAGACCAGAGAGAGACCAGAGAGAGACCAGAGAGAGACCAGAGAGAGACCAGAGAGAGAGACCAGAGAGAGACCAGAGAGAGACCAGAGAGAGAGACCAGAGAGAGACCAGAGAGAGACCAGAGAGAGACCAGAGAGAGACCAGAGAGAGACCAGAGAGAGACCAGAGAGAGAGACCAGAGAGAGACCAGAGAGAGACCAGAGAGAGACCAGAGAGAGAGACCAGAGAGAGACCAGAGAGAGACCCAAACGGTAGCTGAGACAGTGGAGTTTTCTTTTACATGGAAATCAGGAGCCAGAGAGGGGACAAACTTCACCATGAGCACTTCCCTGTTGGGCTACTTTGAGCTAGCGTGTTAGCATTGTCCATCTGTATAAAGTATATTTAGCTTTTAGTTTCATTTCTCCACAGCCTCAGGATCGATCCCAGAGACTTTCCAACATCCTGTACTTTATCTACTCCTGACTCTTCAATATTTAATGTTTGGGTCCAGGACTGAGGCTGTAGACCCAGGACTGAGGCTGTAGACCCAGGACTGAGGCTGTAGACCCAGGACTGAGGCTGTAGACCCAGGACTGAGGCTGTAGACCCAGGACTGAGACTGTAGACCCAGGACTGAGGCTGTAGACCCAGGACTGAGGCTGTAGACCCAGGACTGAGGCTGTAGACCCAGGACTGAGACTGTAGACCCAGGACTGAGGCTGTAGACCCAGGACTGAGGCTGTAGACCCAGGACTGAGGCTGTAGACCCAGGACTGAGGCTGTAGACCCAGGACTGAGGCCGTAGACCCAGGACTGAGGCCGTAGACCCAGTACACACACACACACACACACACACACACACACACACACACACACACTGTCTCTGGTCTAAACAACCCGCCTCCCTTTCCCCTCAGGTCCTGCAGTTGGGCTCGGACATCCTGCCTCAGTACAAGCAGGAGACCCCCAAGACCCCGCCCCACATCATCCTCCACTACTGCCTCTTCAAGACCACGTGGGACTGGCTCATCCTGATCCTCACCTTCTACACGGCCATCATGGTCCCGTACAATGTGTCCTTCAAGACCAAGCAGAACAATGTGGCCTGGCTGGTCCTTGATAGTATCGTGGACGTGATCTTCCTGGTGGACATCGTTCTGAACTTCCACACCACGTTTGTGGGACCCGCCGGGGAAGTCATCTCGGACCCCAAACTGATCCGCATGAACTACGTGAAGACCTGGTTCGTGATAGACCTGCTGTCCTGCCTGCCCTATGACGTCATCAACGCCTTCGAGAACGTGGACGAGGTGAGGGTCTGGTCTCATTCTGGTCTCTCTCTGGTCTCTCTCTGGTCTCTCTCTCTGGTCTCTCTCTGGTCTCTCTCTTTGGTCTCTCTCTCTGGTCTCTCTCTGGTCTCTCTCTGGTCTCTCTCTGGTCTCTCTCTGGTCTCTCTCTGGTCTCTCTCTGGTCTCTCTCTGGTCTCTTTCTCTGGTCTCTCTCTCTGGTCTCTCTCTGGTCTCTCTCTGGTCTCTCTCTGGTTTCTCTCTGGTCTCTCTCTGGTCTCTCTCTGGTCTCTCTGGTCTCTCTCTGGTCTCTCTCTCTGGTCTCGTTCTGGTCTCTTTCTGGTCTCTCTCTGGTCTCTTTCTCTGGTCTCTCTCTGGATCTCTCTCTGGTCTCTCTCTCTGGTCTTTCTCTGGTCTCTCTCTGGTCTCTCTCTTGGTCTCTCTCTGGTCTCTCTCTGGTCTCTCTCTGGCCTCTCTCTGGTCTCTCTCTCTGGTCTCTCTCTCTGGTCTCTCTCTGGTCTCTCTCTGGTCTCTCTCTGGTCTCTCTCTGGTCTCTCTCTGGTCTCTCTCTCTGGTCTCTCTCTCTGGTCTCTCTCTCTGGTCTCCCTCTGGTCTCTCTCTGCTCTCTCTCTGGTCTCTCTCTGGTCTCTCTCTGGTCTCTCTCTGGTCTAGCAGCAGTAATCTGCTTCACTACGGTGTCCCTGAAGGTCAAACTGCGACAGCACTTTTTGAACACGAAACATTTACCGGTGTCAGAGGTTCAGGTGACACCAGAGAGAGACCAGAGAGAGACCGGAGAGAGACCGGAGAGAGACCGGAGAGAGACCAGAGAGAGACCGGAGAGAGAGACCAGAGAGAGACCAGAGAGAGACCAGGGAGAGACCAGATAGAGACCTGAATGAAGACCCCTGACTAAAAGTCACAACAACAAAAATGTTTATGCTTCATCTTTTCTCTCAATTTGGTCTCTGATATTTTCCAGCTCCCCCTGGACTGCCACCTTAACGTGGTGGGGGAGTTTGAGTACTCGGATGATCCTGGGAGCTATGCTGTCTGGGGCTTCATGCCCCTGGTAGGGTCTCCCATGGCAGACAGGTCTCAGGTGACGAGTCAGACGAAGAGCGGTCCACAACCCGTCATGGATCGCACTAAAAAAGAAAAAGTGACGTCGCCCGGCATGGCGCAGCCGGGGCCCCACCCTGGAGCCAGGCCTGGGGTCGGGGCCCGAAAGCGAGCGCCTGGTGGCCGGGCCTTAGCCCACGGGGCCCGGCCGGGCTCAGCCCGAAGGGATGACGTGGGCAGTCCCTCCTGTGGGCCCACCACCTGCAGAGGGGTCCGTGGTGAAGCGGTGCTGAGAGGACTGGGCGGCAGTCGAAGGCGGAGACCTCGGCGACCCAGTCCGCACACACAACATCTGGCTCTTGGGACGTGGAACGTCACCTCACTGGGGGGGAAGGAGCCCGAGCTTGTGGGGGAGGTTGAGAGGTACCGACTAGAGATAGTCGGCCTCACCTCCACACACAGCCTGGGCTCTGGAACCCAACTCCTTGAGAGGGGTTGGACGCTCCACTTTTCTGGAGTTTCTCGCGGGGAGAGGCGGCGAGCTGGGGTGGCCATACTCATTGCCCCCCATCTCAGCCGCCACGTGTTGGAGTTCTCCCCGGTGAACTTGTCCCTCCGCCTTCGGGTGGGGGACAAGTCTCTCACTGTTGTGACGGCCTACGGGCCTAACAGCAGTGCAGAGTACTCGGCCTTCTTGGAGTCCTTGGGAGGGGTACTGGACGGTGCACCGCCCGGGGACTCCGTTATTCTCCTGGGGGACTTCAACGCCCATGTGGGAAGCGCCAGTGACACTTGGAGAGGGGTGATCGGGAAGAACGGCCCCCCTGATCTGAACCCGAGCGGTGTTCAGTTGTTGGACTTCTGTGCCAGTCACGGTTTGTCCATCACGAACACCATGTTCGAGCACAAGGGTGTCCACCAGTGCACGTGGCACCAGGACACCCTAGGCCGGAGGTCGATGATCGACTTTGTTGTCGTATCATCTGACCTTCGACCGCGTGTCTCGGACACTCGGGTAAAGAGAGGGGCGGAGCTGTCAACCGATCATCACCTGGTCGTGAGTTGGAACCGCTGGCAGGGGAGGAAGCCGGTCAGACCTGGCAGACCCAAGCGTGTAGTGAGGGTCTGCTGGGAACGTCTCGCTGAGCCCCCTGTCAGACGGACTTTCAACTTACACCTCCGGGAGAGCTTCTCCCAGGTCCCGGCAGAGGAGGGGGATATTGAGTCTGAGTGGACCATGTTCTCTTCCTCTATCGCCGATGCAGCGGGTCGTAGCTGTGGTCGCAAGGTCTCTGGTGCTGGTCCCGGGGGCAACCCCCGAACCCGGTGGTGGACACCGGCAGTAAGGGATGCCGTCAGGCTGAAAAAGGAGTCCTATCGAGCCATGATGGTTCCAGCTGTCCAGTACCGGCAGGCCAAACGTGCCGCGGCCCGGGCTGTTGCAGAGGCAAAAACATGGGACTGGGAGGAGTTCGGAGAGTCCATGGAGCATGACTATCGGTCGGCCTCGAAGAGGTTCTGGCAAACCGTCCGGCGCCTCAGGAGGGGGAAGCAGTTCTTTGCCAACGCCGTGTATGGTGCGGGTGGAGAGCTGCTGACCTCGACCAGGGATATTGTCGGACGGTGGAAGGAACACTTCAAGGTTCTCCTCAACCCCCCCGTCACGTCCTCCGCTCCGGAGGCAGAGGCTGAGGATGTTGGGGTGGATACTTCTGTCACCCTGGCAGAGGTCACCAAGGTGGTTGGTAGCCTCCATGGTGGCAAGGCGCCGGGAGTGGATGAGATCCGCCCTGACTATCTAAAGTCTCTGGATGTTGTAGGACTGTCTTGGCTGACACGTCTCTGCAGCATCGCGTGGCGATCGGGGGCAGTGCCAATGGAGTGGCAGACCGGGGTGGTGGTCCCTCTCTACAAGAAGGAGGACCGGAGGGTGTGTTCCAATTATTGTGGGATCACACTCCTCAGCCTCCCCGGTAAGGTCTACTCCAAGATACTGGAGAGGAGGCTACGGCCGATGGTCGAATCTCGGATTCAGGAGGGGCAGTGTGGTTTTCGTCCCGGTCGCGGAACACTGGACCAGCTCTATACTCTCCATCGGATACTCGAGGGTTCATGGGAGTTCGCCCAACCTGTCCACATGTGCTTTGTGGATTTGGAGAAGGCGTTCGACCGTGTTCCCCGGGGTGTTCTTTGGGGGGTTCTCCGGGAGTACGGGGTCCGGGGTCCTCTGCTGAGGGCCATCCGATCCCTGTATGACCGGAGTCAGAGCTGTGTTCGCATTGCCGGCAGTAAGTCAGACCTGTTCCCGGTGCATGTTGGCCTCCGCCAGGGCTGCCCTTTGTCACCGGTTCTGTTCACTGTATTTATGGACAGAATTTCTAGGCGCAGCCAGGGGTCGGAGGGGGTCCGGTTCGGGAACCACAGGATTTAATCTCTACTTTTTGCGGATGATGTCGTCCTGTTGGCTCCAACGAACCAGGACCTGCAGCATGCACTGGGACGGTTTGCAGCCAAGTGTGAAGCGGCTGGGATGAGAATCAGCACCTCCAAATCCGAGGCCATGGTGCTCGACCGGAAAAAGGTGCCTTGCCCTCTCCGGGTGGGTGGAGAGGCCCTTCCTCAAGTGGAGGAGTTCAAGTATCTCGGGGTCTTGTTCACGAGTGAGGGAAGAATGGAGCGTGAGATTGACAGGCGGATCGGTGCAGCCTGCGCAGTGATGCGGTCGCTGTATCGGACCGTTGTGGTAAAGAGGGAGCAGCGTCTGCAGTCAGAGCTGTATCGGACCGTTGTGGTAAAGAGGGAGCAGCGTCTGCAGTCAGAGCTGTATCGGACCGTTGTGGTAAAGAGGGAGCAGCGTCTGCAGTCAGAGCTGTATCGGACCGTTGTGGTAAAGAGGAAGCTGAGCCGAAAGGCAAAGCTCTCGATTTACCGGTCAATCTTCGTTCCCTTCGAACGAGATCGCGGATACAAGCGGTCGAAATGAGCTTCCTCCGCAGAGTGGCTGCTCCCTTAGAGATAGGGTGAGGAGCTCAGTCACACGGGAGGAGCTCGGAGTAGAGCCGCTGCTTCTCCACGTCGAGAGGAACCAGTTGAGGTGGCTCGGTCATCTGTTCCGGATGCCTCCTGGACGCCTCCCTGGGGAGGTGTTCCGGGCACGTCCCACCGGGAGGAGGCCCCGCGGAAGACCCAGGACACGCTGGAGGGACTATGTCTCTCGGCTGGCCTGGGAACGCCTTGGGGTCCCCCGGACGAGCTGGAGGAAGTGTGTGTGGATAGGGAAGTCTGGGCGTCTCTGCTTAGACTGCTGCCCCCGCGACCCGGCAACGGATGAAGCGGAAGAAAATGGATGGATGGATATTTTTCAGCTCCTGTCTCTCTCTCTGGTCTCCCTCTAGTCTCCCTCTAGTCTCCCTCTAGTCTCTCTCTGGTCTCCCTCTGGTCAGTGGTCTCTCTATGGTCTCTGGTCTCCCTCTGGTCTCTGGTTCTGGTCTCCCTCTGGTCTCTCTCTAGTCTCTCTCTGGTCTCCCTCTGGTCTCCCTCTGGTCTCTGGTCTCCCTCTAGTCTCTCTCTGGTCTCCCTCTGGTCTCTGGTCTCCCTCTGGTCTCTGGTCTCTCTCTGGTCTCCCTCTGGTCTCTCTCTGGTCTCCCTCTGGTCTCTGGTCTCCCTCTGGTCTCTGGTCTCCCTCTGGTCTCTGGTCTCCCTCTAGTCTCTCTCTGGTCTCTCTCTGGTCTCTGGTCTCCCTCTGGTCTCTGGTCTCCCTCTGGTCTCTGGTCTCCCTCTGGTCTCTGGGTCTCCCTCTGGTCTCTGGTCTCCCTCTAGTCTCTCTCTGGTCTCCCTCTGGTCTCTGGTCTCCCTCTGGTCTCTGGTCTCCCTCTGGTCTCTGGTCTCCCTCTGGTCTCTGGTCTCTCTCTGGTCTCCCTCTGGTCTCCCTCTGGTCTCTGGTCTCCCTCTGGTCTCTGGTCTCTTGTACATGTCTCTGTGTGTGTTCAGGGCATCAGCTCCCTCTTCAGTTCGCTGAAGGTAGTGCGGCTGCTGCGTCTGGGTCGAGTGGCGCGGAAACTGGACCATTACATCGAGTACGGCGCCGCGGTGCTGGTTCTGCTGGTCTGTGTGTTCGGACTAGCAGCACACTGGCTCGCCTGCATCTGGTACAGCATCGGGGACTATGAGGTGAGACCAGAGTGAGACCAAAGAGAGAGAGCAGAGAGAGACCAGAAAGAGAGACCAGAAACAGAAATGAAAGAGATAAGAGAGATGAGAGTTAGAGACCAGAAAGAGAGACCTGAGTGAGATCAGAGTGAGACCAGAGGGAGAGACCAGAGAGAGACCAGAGTGAGACCAGAGTGAGACCAGAGTGAGACCAGAGGGAGAGACCAGAGTGAGACCAGAGTGAGACCAGAGTGAGACCAGAGTGAGACCAGAGTGAGACCAGAGTGAGACCAGAGTGAGACCAGAGGGAGAGACCAGGGAGAGAACAGAGAGGGACCAGAGAGAGAGACCAGAAAGAGAGACCAGGGAGAGACCAGAGTGAGACCAGAGTGAGACCAGAGAGAGACCAGAGTGAGACCAGAGTGAGACCAGAGGGAGAGACCAGAGGGAGACCAGAGTGAGACCAGAGGGAGAGACCAGAGGGAGAGACCAGGGAGAGACCAGAGTGAGATCAGAGTGAGATCAGAGTGAGATCAGAGTGAGACCAGAGTGAGACCAGAGTGAGACCAGAGGGAGAGACCAGAGGGAGAGACCAGGGAGAGACCAGAGTGAGATCAGAGTGAGATCAGAGTGAGATCAGAGTGAGACCAGAGTGAGACCAGAGTGAGACCAGAGTGAGACCAGAGTGAGACCAGAGGGAGAGACCAGAGTGAGACCAGAGTGAGACCAGAGTGAGACCAGAGTGAGACCAGAGTGAGAGACCAGAGTGAGACCAGAGGGAGAGACCAGAGAGAGAGACCAGAGAGAGACCAGAGAGAGACCAGAGAGAGACCAGAGAGAGACCAGAGAGAGACCAGAAACAGAAATGAAAGAGATAAGAGAGATCAGAGTTAGAGACCAGAAAGAGAGACCAGGGAGAGACCAGAGTGAGACCAGAGTGAGACCAGAGTGAGACCAGAGTGAGACCAGAGGGAGAGACCAGAAAGAGAGACCAGAAACAGAAATGAAAGAGATAAGAGAGATGAGAGTTAGAGACCAGGGAGAGACCAGAGTGAGATCAGAGTGAGACCAGAGGGAGAGACCAGGGAGAGACCAGAGAGAGACCAGAGTGAGACCAGAGGGAGAGACCAGGGAGAGACCAGAGAGAGACCAGAGTGAGACCAGAGGGAGAGACCAGAAAGAGAAATGAAAGAGATAAGAGAGATCAGAGTTAGAGACCAGAAAGAGAGACCTGGGAGAGACCAGAGTGAGACCAGAGTGAGACCAGAGGGAGAGACAAGGGAGAGACCAGAGTGAGAGCAGAGTGAGACCAGAGGGAGAGACCAGGGAGAGACCAGAGAGAGACCAGAGTGAGACCAGAGGGAGAGACCAGGGAGAGACCAGAGAGAGACCAGAGTGAGACCAGAGGGAGAGACCAGGGAGAGACCAGAGAGAGACCAGAGTGAGACCAGAGGGAGAGACCAGAGAGAGAGACCAGAGAGGGACCAAAGAGAGACTAGAGAGTAGTATTGCAACATTAGTATCATGAGTAGCATTAGCAGTAGCATCAGTAGCATTAGCATTTGCATCATTAGCATTAGCATCCTTAGCATTAGCATCAGTAGCATTAGCATTTGCATCCTTAGCATTAGCATTAGCATCCTTAGCCTTAGCATCCTTAGCATTAGCCTCAGTGTATGTTTTGCAGGTGATAGACGAGCAGCATAACCGCGCCCGCACAGACAGCTGGCTCTTCCTGCTGGGGGAGAGCGTGGGCGCCCCCTACAGGTTCAACGTGTCGGGGTCAGGGCGCTGGGAGGGGGGCCCCGGGAAGGACTCGGTCTACATCACCTCCCTCTACTTCACCATGACCAGCCTCACCAGCATCGGCTTCGGCAACATCGCCCCCAACACCGACGGAGAGAAGGTCTTCGCCGTCGCCATGATGATGATCGGATGTGAGTACCAGGGCTGGACCAGGACTGGACCAGGACTGGAGCAGGACTGGACCAGGACTGGACCAGGACTGGACCAGGACTAGACCAGGGCTGGACCAGGACTGGACCAGGACTGGAGCAGGACTGGAGCAGGACTGGACCAGGGCTGGACCAGGGCTGGACCAGGGCTGGATCAGGGCTGGATCAGGGCTGGACCAGGGCTGGACCAGGGCTGGACCAGGGCTGGACCAGGGCTGGACCAGGGCTGGACCAGGACTGGACCAGGGCTGGACCAGGACTGGACCAGGGCTGGACCAGGACTGGACCAGGGCTGGATCAGGGCTGGAGCAGGGCTGGACCAGGACCAGAGAGAGACCAGAGAGGGACCAGAGAGAGACCAGAGACTAGAGCGACCACAGACTGGATGAGAGTGAGGGACCTGGACTGAAGCAGGTTTTTAAAAGGTCTAGAGCAGGTCTGAAGCAGGTCTAAATCCAGATCCTCTCTCCTTGTCTCCTTCTGGTCCTCAGAGTCCTGGTTCTGAGTAGTTTGTATTAATACATGTCCCACTTATGGTCCACAGAGGAACTCCTCACGTTCACTGAAAAACACACTCCATGTTAGCTCCATGTTAGCTACGCTCCATGTTAGCTACGCTCCATGTTAGCTCCATGTTAGCTACGCCTCATGTTAGCTACGCTCCATGTTAGCTACGCTCCATGTTAGCTACGCTCCATGTTAGCTCCATGTTAGCTACGCCTCATGTTAGCTACGCTCCATGTTAGCTACGCTTCATGCTAGCTACACTCCATGTTAGCCCCATGTTAGCTACACTCCATGTTAGCTACGCTCCATGTTAGCTCCATGTTAGCTACGCTCCATGTTAGCTACGCTCCATTTTAGCTACGCTTCATGCTAGCTACACTCCATGTTAGCTCCATGTTAGCTACACTCCATTTTAGCTACGCTCCATGTTAGCTCCATGTTAGCTACGTTCCATGTTAGCTACGCTCCATGTTAGCTACGCTCCATGTTAGCTACGCTTCATGTTAGCTACGCTTCATGTTAGCTACGCTCCATGTTAGCTACGCTCTATGTTAGCTACGCTTCATGCTAGCTACTCTACTCTACTCTACCCTACTGTACTGTACTGTACTCTACTCTACTATACCCTACTGTACTGTACTCTACTCTACCCTACTGTACTGTACTGTACTCTACTCTACTCTACCCTACTGTACTGTACTCTACTCTACTCTACTCTACCCTACTCTACTCTACTCTACTCTACTCTACCCTACCCTACCCTACCTACTACCCTACCCTACCCCTACCCTGCCTACTCTACCCTACCCTACCCTACTCTACTCTACTCTACTCTACCCTACTCTACCCTACCCTACTCTACCCTACTCTACTCTACTCTACCCTACTCTACCCTACCCTACCCTACTCTACTCTACTCTACCCTACTGTACTGTACTCTACTCTACTCTACTCTACCCTACCCTACTCTACTCTACTCTACCCTACTCTACCCTACTCTACTCTACCCTACCCTACCCTACTCTACTCTACTCTACTCTACTCTACTCTACTCTACCCTACTCTACTCTACTCTACTCTACCCTACCGTACTGTACTCTACTCTACTCTACTCTACCCTACCCTACCCTACCCTACCCTGCGCTGCCCTGCCCTACTCTACCCTACTCTACCCTACTCTACTCTACTCTACCCTACTCTACCCTACTCTACTCTACCCTACTCTACCCTACCCTACCCTACTCTACTCTACTCTACTCTACCCTACTGTACTGTACTCTACTCTACCCTACTCTACCCTACTCTCTACTCTACTCTACCCTACTCTACACTACTCTACTCTACTCTACCCTACTCTACTCTACTCTACTCTACTCTACCCTACTCTACTCTACTGTACTCTACTCTACTCTACCCTACTGTACTCTACTCTACTCTACTCTACCCTACTCTACCCTACTCTACTCTACCCTACCTACCCTACTCTACCCTACTCTACTCTACCCTACCCTACCCTACTCTACCCTACTCTACCCTACTCTACCCTACTCTACTCTACTCTACCCTACCCTACCTACCCTACCCTACTCTACTCTACTCTACTCTACTCTACCCTACTCTACTCTACTCTACTCTACCCTACCCTACCCTACCCTACCCTACTCCTACTCTACTCTACTCTACTCTACTCTACTCTACTCTACTCTACTCTACTCTACCCTACCCTACTCTACCCTACCCTACTCTACCCTACTCTACTCTACTCTACTCTACTCTACCCTACTCTACTCTACTCTACTCTACCCTACCCTACCCTACTCTACTCTACTCTACTCTACTCTACTCTACTCTACTCTACTCTACCCTACTGTACTCTACTCTACTCTACTCTACCCTACTGTACTCTACTGTACTCTACTCTACTCTATCCTACTGTACTCTACTCTACTCTACTCTACCCTACTGTACTCTACTGTACTCTACTCTAGTGAGTGTGAGACAAACGATTATTACTTGAGGAGTTTACTTGTAAGTCAAAAGGAAGGAGAGAGATTAGGAGACAAATTTAGCGGGTTAGCATTGAGCTAGCAGATTAGCATCGGGCTAGCAGATTAGCATCAGGCTAGCGGATTAGCATTTAGCTAGCAGATTAGCATTGAGCTAACGTTGTTGTTTTTCCGCAGCTCTTCTTTACGCCACCATCTTTGGGAACGTGACCACGATCTTCCAGCAGATGTACGCTAACACCAACCGCTACCACGAGATGCTCAACAGTGTGAGGGACTTCCTGACGCTGTACCAGGTTCCCAAGGGCCTCAGCGAGCGCGTCATGGACTACATCGTCTCCACATGGTCCATGACCAGAGGCATAGACACAGACAAGGTACCAGACCACGACGGGACCAGGAATACGGCAAGAATGAGTCAGGTCTAGAGGGAGTGACCAGAGATAGACCAGAAAGAGACTAGAGAGAGACCAGAGAGAGACCAGAGAGAGACAAGAGAGAGACTAGAGAGAGACCAGAGAGAGACCAGAGAGAGACCAGAGAGAGACTAGAGAGAGACCAGAGAGAGACCATAAAGAGACTAGAGAGAGACCAGAGAGAGACAGGTCTGACTTACTGCCGGCAATGCGAACACAGCTCTGGCTCCGGTCATACAGGGACCGGGATAGAGAGCAGTCTCTCTCTGGTTTCACATAAGAATTATATAGCAGCTTTGTGAATCTAATCACTATATTCAAATAATCTGGAAAAACAACAGGACATTATCTTTTTCAACATTTCCCATAGAGGTGTTTCGGCACCAAAAAAAACTCCAATACATGAATCCAAACTATGATGTCTCAGTATCAGTATCTCAGTGTCCATGTGGACATTAGATAAAAGCCCAGTCCAGTATTGTTGCATAAGTGTTTATTTTCTCAGAGCAGTGGTTCTCGGTGACACACGGTGAACTCGAGGTCAGGACTGATCCATGTTCAGGTCAGTGATTGGTGAATCATGAGGTCACAGGCGGCTGCCGGGAAAACCACATTCCACAGAACCACAGAACCAATCCATCATCTCTGTTACTTCAAAAACATAATACTACTTGTGTGCTACTTGTTACTGTTATTTCAAATTAATGTGTTACACTACAATATTACTGTCTCTGAATTGTAAAGCGTTTCACAACTACTGCATTACTTGGAAATAAGATAAGCTTTTATTTGTCCTTCTGTGGGGAGATTTCAATGTCATCGTTGGGCACATTACAGCAGAATAGAAGTAGGAAATAAGAGACTCAGGCTTCAAGAATCAAACAGGATATATTATTAAAGATAATAGCTCATAACATAGATTAAAATAAAAATATGATAAAGTCTAGTGAGTTATCCTGGAGTATACACTGTAGTCAGCAGGAGGTATTTACACATGTTTCTGTTGCACTTTAGCAGCAGAGAATATGCCCAGAATGAACAGGTGAGAGACACGTGTATAGACTCAGCAGTTCTCATTGTACAGTCTGACAGCAGCAGGAAGGGAAGACCTGTGGAACCTCTCCTTCACTCAGCGAGGACGTTATTTTCACCAAATTGTGTATATACCAGTGCATATAGAAACTAAATGTAGCCTATGATGTTATTGCGTGAGGTTAACAAACATAAACGTTGTCCATCTGTAAAATATTCTATTCTCCACATAGTGTCTGCCTCTGCACATCAGGAACAACACTTCGAGGCAAAGACTATTGGAGCAGATGTGTCTCCTGCAGATTATAAAAACATGACACTATTTAATGTTGCTGCTTAACTAAAGTGGCCCTCTTGGGTTAGGGCTATTTTACAGAGGCCTCTGACCATCAACAGTGCGTCAAAACACCTCGTCCTTAAATTGTGCTGTGTCCAGTTAAATCAGTCATTCATTTGCGGCGTTTTGCTCCATCAGCTGCTAGTTATGTGTTACATTAAGACATGAAAACACATTTGTTTATATTATCCAACTTACACTCAGCTCATGTACAGCTGCGCTAAAGATTCATGAAATATGATTCTGATGCTTTTGCTCTTGTTTTCTTAAGCACTTTGAGTTTCCTTGTGTATGAACTGTGCTATACTAATAATCTGTCTTTCCCTACATCTGCAGCTGATCTCAGTAAAAAGGAAAATCTATTGAACATACATAAACAGGTCTCACCGGACAGAAATGTTATGAAACCAGTGAAAAAATCCATAATCCAATATCTATAGATAATTCATATCACATGGTCCGAACCAAGCAGACTCTGCAGACATCAACCAGAGGAAGCAGCCCATTACCAGCAGCTGCACCACCTCTGCTGCTGATGCACTTTAATACTATTGTTAATAACTTTTAGAATGATGTATTTGTTTGTATGGATGGATGTGTTTCTGCTGCTGGACACATGCATTTCTTCCACAGGGATCAATAAATTATCGATCTATCTATTTGACTTTTCCATTTGGATCCTTGTGTTTCAGGTGGTCCTGCTCAGTGGTCACCTGGACAGCTGGGACGTGGGGCAGGGAGCGATGGACGATGGGGGAGGAGCCATGATCTCCTGGGAGGCGCTGTCCCTGATCCAAGACCTGGGTACGAGCTCTTTCACCCAAGTCTAGGGCTCAAATGAAACAAAGCTAAAGTGACTAGATGTAACATAATAGGTTGTTTTGATTATTACTATTATTGTCTCTCTCTCTGGTCTCTCCCTGGTCTCTCCCTGGTCTCTCCTGGGTATCTCTAGTCTCTCTCGCTCACTCTGGTCTCTCTGGTCTGTCTGTGCTCTGGTCTCTCCCTGGTATCGGTTGTCTCTTTCTCTCGCTCTCCGGTCTCTTTCTCTCTCTCTCTGGTCTCGCTCTGGTCTCGCTCTGGTCTCGCCCTGGTCTCTCTCTGGTCTCTCTCTGGTCTCTCTCTGGTCTCTCTCTGGTCTCGCTCTGGTCTCTCTCTGGTCTCTCTCTGGTCTCTCTCTGGTCTCGCTCTGGCCTCTCTCTGGTCTCACTCTGGCCCCTCTCTGGTCCCTCTCTGGTCTCTCTCTGGTCTCTCTCTGGTCTCTCTCTGGTCTCTCTCTGGTCTCTCTCTGGTCTCTCTCTGGTCTCGCTCTGGTCTCTCTCTGGTCTCTCTCTGGTCTCGCTCTGGCCTCTCTCTGGTCTCACTCTGGCCCCTCTCTGGCCCCTCTCTGGTCCCTCTCTGGTCCCTCTCTGGTCCCTCTCTGGTCTCTCTCTGGTCTCTCTCTGGTCTCTCTCTGGTCTCTCTCTGGTCTCTCTCTGGTCTCCCTCTGGTCTCCCTCTGGTCTCCCTCTGGTCTCGCTCTGGTCTCTCTCTGGTCTCTCTCTGGTCTCGCTCTGGTCTCGCTCTGGTCTCGCTCTGGTCTCTCTCTGGGCTCTCTCTGGGCTCTCTCTGGGCTCTCTCTGGTCTCTCTCTGGTCTCTCTCTGGTCTCTCTCTGGTCTCTCTCTGGTCTCTCTCTGGTCTCTCTCTGGTCTCTCTCTGGTCTCTCTCTGGTCTTTCTTTGGTCTCTCTTTGGTCTCGCTCTGGTCTCACTCTGGCCCCTCTCTGGCCCCTCTCTGGCCCCTCTCTGGTCTCTCTCTGGTCTCTCTCTGGTCTCTCCCTGGTCTCTCTCTGGTCACTCTCTGGTCACTCTCTGGTCACTCTCTGGTCTCTCTCTGGTCTCTCTCTGTTCTCTCTCTGGTCTCTCTCTGGTCTCTCTCTGGTCTCTCTCTGGTCTCTCTCTGGTCTCTCTCTGGTCTCTCTGGTCTCTCTCTGATCTCTCTCTGGTCTCTCTCTGGTCTCTCTCTGGTCTCTCTCTGGTCTCTCTCTGCTCTCTCTCTGGTCTCTCTCTGGTCTCTCTCTGGCCTCTCTCTGCTCTCTCTCTGGTCTCTCTCTGGCCTCTCTCTGGTCTCTCTCTGGTCTCTCTCAGGTCTCCCTCTGGTCTCCCTCTGGTCTCTCTCTGCTCTCTCTCTGGTCTCTCTCTGGTCTCTCTCTGGTCTCTCTCTGGTCTCTCTCTGGTCTCTCTCTAGTCTCTCTCTGACAGACTTCCCACAGTTTGATGTTGACCAGTGTTCCTCTGTAGGTCTGCGTCCCAGGAGGACTCTGCGTACGGTGCTGTGGACGGGGGAGGAGCAGGGCGGAGTGGGAGCCCAGCAGTATTATAATCTACACAAGGTCAGGAGCTTCAAAACCTCCCATTTATTCATGTAATCACTATAATATTACAGTTATTTACAGACCTCTCTGTGGTTTGAGGATGTTCTGACCTCCTGAATGTTTGAATCTGCTCCAGGTGAATCTGTCGGACTTCGACCTCGTCATGGAGTCTGACCTCGGCACGTTCAAACCTGTGGGTCTGCAGTTCACTGGCTCCGAAGCGGCACAGAAGGTACATCCTCTGGGCCCGCCTTCACCACAAACAGCAGATGCTTTCATAATAATAACAATGCATTAGTTTTATACCTAGTTCGTTGGACACTAATTATTTTTTCACTCCATACATGCGTGATAAACTACTACTGTAGACAAACACACACACACACACACACACACACTCTAATGTGGGTTAGAGACTGTTGTCATAAATGGATTCAGACTGATGGTTGTGTGAGCAGGTGATGGAGCAGGTGGTGCAGCTGCTGGCTCCCATCAACACCACCAAACTGGAACCTCACGGAGAAGGCACCGACATCTCTCCCTGGATGGAAGCTGGAGTCCCAGGTTTGTATCTGTGTGTCTCTGTGTGTGTGTGTGTGTGTGTGTGTGTGTGTCTCTGTGTGTATGTGTCTCTGTGTGTATGTCTAACAAACACTGTACAGTTTCACATCCTCACAGACGGCTGAGGTTTCCAAAGGGGATTATTTAATAGAATATTTAGACGTGGAGAGGGAAGTGTGGTTGCCTCTGCTTAGAAGGCTGCCTCCGCCACTCAGCCACAGATAAAGAGGAAGAACATGGGTAGATTTGACCGATACCTTTCATCTGTCTATTTATACAAGGAGCTTCTGTGTGTATGTTTCAGGGATCATTTTAGATGTTGCTCTAAATCACAACCAATCAAGAGCATTGAGACTTTTTTTTTTTAATCTATTTTGCTCATGAAAGGTCAGTTTATCTGGATCAAGCTAATTGGCTCATGCTAGCACCATGAACGTCCCAAACATTAGCAGAAGTGACACGTTCTGGACAGTTCTGGACCAGAGAGAGAGACTGGAGAGAGAGACTGGAGAGAGAGACTGGAGAGAGAGACTGGAGAGAGAGACTGGAGAGAGAGGCTGGAGAGAAAGACTGGAGAGAGAGACAGACTGAGACTGAGAGAGAGACTGGAGAGAGAGACTGGAGAGAGAGACTGGAGAGAGAGACTGGAGAGAGAGACTGGAGAGAGAGACTGGAGAGAGAGACTGGAGAGAGAGACTGGAGAGAGACCAGAGGGAGAGAGACCAGCAGAGGGAGAGGGACCAGCAGAGGGAGAGTGACCAGCAGAGGGAGAGGGACCAGCAGAGGGAGAGGGACCAGCAGAGGGAGAGGGACCAGCAGAGGGAGAGGGACCAGCAGAGGGAGAGGGACCAGCAGAGGGAGAGGGACCAGCAGAGGGAGAGTGACCAGCAGAGGGAGAGTGACCAGCAGAGGGAGAGTGACCAGCAGAGGGAGAGTGACCAGCAGAGGGAGAGTGACCAGCAGAGGGAGAGTGACCAGCAGAGGGAGAGTGACCAGCAGAGGGAGAGTGACCAGCAGAGGGAGAGGGACCAGCAGAGGGAGAGGGACCAGCAGAGGGAGAGTGACCAGCAGAGGGAGAGTGACCAGCAGAGGGAGAGGGACCAGCAGAGGGAGAGGGACCAGCAGAGGGAGAGGGACCAGCAGAGGGAGAGGGACCAGCAGAGGGAGAGTGACCAGCAGAGGGAGAGTGACCAGCAGAGGGAGAGTGACCAGCAGAGGGAGAGTGACCAGCAGAGGGAGAGTGACCAGCAGAGGGAGAGGGACCAGCAGAGGGAGAGTGACCAGCAGAGGGAGAGTGACCAGCAGAGGGAGAGTGACCAGCAGAGGGAGAGTGACCAGCAGAGGGAGAGGGACCAGCAGAGGGAGAGGGACCAGCAGAGGGAGAGGGACCAGCAGAGGGAGAGGGACCAGCAGAGGAGAGTGACCAGTGACCAGCAGAGGGAGAGTGACCAGCAGAGGGAGAGTGACCAGCAGAGGGAGAGTGACCAGCAGAGGGAGAGTGACCAGCAGAGGGAGAGTGACCAGCAGAGGGAGAGTGACCAGCAGAGGGAGAGTGACCAGCAGAGGGAGAGGGACCAGCAGAGGGAGAGGGACCAGCAGAGGGAGAGGGACCAGCAGAGGGAGAGGGACCAGCAGAGGGAGAGGGACCAGCAGAGGGAGAGGGACCAGCAGAGGGAGAGGGACCAGCAGAGGGAGAGGGACCAGCAGAGGGAGAGGGACCAGCAGAGGGAGAGGGACCAGCAGAGGGAGAGTGACCAGCAGAGGGAGAGTGACCAGCAGAGGGAGAGTGACCAGCAGAGGGAGAGGGACCAGCAGAGGGAGAGGGACCAGCAGAGGGAGAGTGACCAGCAGAGGGAGAGTGACCAGCAGAGGGAGAGTGACCAGCAGAGGGAGAGGGACCAGCAGAGGGAGAGGGACCAGCAGAGGGAGAGGGACCAGCAGAGGGAGAGGGACCAGCAGAGGGAGAGTGACCAGCAGAGGGAGAGGGACCAGCAGAGGGAGAGGGACCAGCAGAGGGAGAGGGACCAGCAGAGGGAGAGGGACCAGCAGAGGGAGAGGGACCAGCAGAGGGAGAGGGACCAGCAGAGGGAGAGGGACCAGCAGAGGGAGAGGGACCAGCAGAGGGAGAGGGACCAGCAGAGGGAGAGGGACCAGCAGAGGGAGAGTGACCAGCAGAGGGAGAGTGACCAGCAGAGGGAGAGTGACCAGCAGAGGGAGAGTGACCAGCAGAGGGAGAGTGACCAGCAGAGGGAGAGTGACCAGCAGAGGGAGAGTGACCAGCAGAGGGAGAGTGACCAGCAGAGGGAGAGTGACCAGCAGAGGGAGAGTGACCAGCAGAGGGAGAGTGACCAGCAGAGGGAGAGTGACCAGCAGAGGGAGAGGGACCAGCAGAGGGAGAGGGACCTCTGTGAAAGCTGTAGTTTCCCGTCAGCTGAGGATGATCTGTTTTAGTTTACACTGAGGTCTAAGGGGAAAATCTCTTGGAGCGCCCCCTACAGGAACACCTTCTACACTGTGAGTAGGTCATTTTAATCCTGTCTTCTCTGCAGGAGCCAGTCTCCACGTGGCCGACTCTAAATACTTCTGGTTCCACCACACTGAGGGCGACACTCTCACGGTGCAGGACCCGCACCACATGGACCTGTGCTCGGCATTGTGGGCCGTGGTGGCCTTCGTGGTGGGGGACCTGGAGGAGATGCTGCCCCGGTAGAACTGCTGCTGCCGACACGCACACCCGGAGGAAATCCTGCTGACACCACACACACCCGGAGGAAATCCTGCTGACACCACACACACCCGGAGGAAATCCTGCTGACACCACACACACCCGGAGGAAATCCTGCTGACACCACACACACCCGGAGGAAATCCTGCTGACACCACACACACCCGGAGGAAATCCTGCTGACACCACACACACCCGGAGGAAATCCTGCTGACACCACACACACCCGGAGGAAATCCTGCTGACACCACACACACCTGGAGGAAATCCTGCTGACACCACACACACCCGGAGGAAATCCTGCTGACACCACACACACCTGGAGGAAATCCTGCTGACACCACCCAGTACATTTAGAACATTTTTTAGTTGGTTTTTTTCGAGAGTTTTTAAACGCATAACAAGACTCCATCAGCCTGGGACTGGGAACAATTCAATTAGCAGCAGTTGTCTCAGAGGACTGTACAAATTTGTTAATTCACCAACAACAGATCAAAGAATCAAACTGTTCTTACACATTCATTGGTCACTGCTCCATAGGGAACAGGATGACCAATGCCGATACATTAAAATAAATGTCCTGGATCATCACTGTGCTCAGACCAGGAGACGCCACCCTTTTTGAATCCGAGGGCTACTTCAAAATGACCACATGGCTCGAGGGCAAATAGTTATTGCTGAAATGAAATCCATTAAACTTTGCGAAGACGGGTCAAAAATGGGAGATTGTACATACCCCATAACCCCAGTCTTATATTTTCCTCTAACATGGATTCGGAAAGTCCAAACCGGACTCTTGAGCGGCTCATATCTCTGTGAATTCAGATTCTTTTTGGACACTTTAAAACACACTTTCAAAACAGAGAATAGTAGACTGCACGTATCTGCTCTTTCGCAAATGCCAACCACTGAGTGAAGGGGTGAAGACAAAAGACCGGGTCAACAGGCGCCGGGACCAATGCTAGATAAAGATCATGCTTCGCGGGCGTCTTTTGTGGTCCTTGCGGGTGACCGTGCCCACAGGCATAGTGTTGGTGACCCCTGCCTTAGCCCCTCCTGCATCACCAAGGATCGAAAAAAACAGTGATAGAAAAGTGAGAAACCTCATGGAGCCCCATATGGAGAAAGGGACAGCCCGCCAAAGACCAATGTTCAGACCGGTTTGGGAGCAATGGTGACTAGTGTTCTCTGTTTTCTTAAGCCTTTGTAACAAACATACTCTGTGTCTCATCAAACAAGAGGATTTCAAAGAACCTGTGTCTGTGGAGGAGAGAACAAACCAACATCATGAAGAAATATGAAATCAAAGTCTTCGTTTGAACTTGGGCGTTCACATGAATCCACAAAGCTTCTAAGGTTCAGATGTCGCCCTCTATCGCCACCTGCTGTCAGTGGTGTCACATGATCTCCTGCGGTTATTTAATATTTTAGGGATTTTTTTTATTTTCTTGTGAAGGAATGATTTGAATTGTTTTAATGTGATTGTGTTTCTGTTTTGACTTCTCCTCGGGGCATTCTTTTAAAGTATTAGAATTCTTGAACCCACTTTTTTATTATCGCCTGGTCAAGTGTAATGACCACTAAAGCTGGGGTACTGCGCTTTCTACACACAGTAAATGACATGTGTAGATAGTATGTTATGATTCTTATTATTTTGGTGCTAGAAAAGATCCCTGTGAGTCACTATTTGACTCTTTTGGCTCAGAGTTGATTGAAAACAAAAGATGACATTTTCTACATTTCACCTTCAAAACAACTCCTACGACATGTGTTGCTTATGAAGAAAAAAAATAGGTTCCTCAGTTTTAATCTGTGACTCAGAAATGTCAGGAAAGAGGAAATGTGTGGGAGAAATATTCTCCTGTGTGTTGCACAGGTACAGGACCCTCAGAGCACAGGTACAGGACCCACAGGTACAGGACCCTCAGAGCACAGGTACAGGACCCACAGGTACAGGACCCTCAGAGCACAGGTACAGGACCCTCAGGTACAGGACCCACAGGTACAGGACCCTCAGAGCACAGGTACAGGACCCTCAGAGCACAGGTACAGACCCACAGGTACAGGACCCTCAGAGCACAGGTACAGGACCCACAGATACAGGACCCTCAGAGCACAGGTACAGGACCCACAGGTACAGGACCCTCAGAGCACAGGTACAGGACCCACAGGTACAGGACCCTCAGAGCACAGGTACAGACCCACAGGTACAGGACCCTCAGAGCACAAGTACAGGACCCACAGGTACAGGACCCTCAGAGCACAGGTACAGGACCCACAGGTACAGGACCCACAGGTACAGGACCCACAGAGCACAGGTACAGGACCCTCAGGTACAGGACCCACAGGTACAGGACCCTCAGAGCACAGGTACAGACCCACAGGTACAGGACCCTCAGAGCACAGGTACAGGACCCACAGGTACAGGACCCACAGGTACAGGACCCTCAGAGCACAGGTACAGGACCCACAGGTACAGGACCCTCAGAGCACAGGTACAGACCCACAGGTACAGGACCCTCAGAGCGCCCTCCGTTGTATGCAGCTAAACCAAACTGTTTTTAACCTGGATTTAAACATTATCAGCGATGAGGCCTGTCTCACATTTTCAGGAAGATTGTTCCAGATTCTGGCACCAGCAGGAGGCCAGTCCCTGTGCTCCTCAGAGTCTGAGTTGAATCATATGGCACTAATCTTATAAATCTTTTAACTAATAAAGGCTTGATATAAGTTAAAAGTCACATAAAACTAAGTAAAAATGGACTGTAGGACATAATCATCCACGAAACAAACAAAGGTCTTTGCCACTGTTATTACAGTATGTCAAGTAGAAACATATTTGTCACCAATTATTGGACACAGGGTGGACTCAGAGTCCAATAGTGACTCACAGGGCGCTTTAGAAAACAAAAGATGACATTTTCTACATTTCACCTTCAAAACAACTCCTACGACATGTGTTGCTTATGAAGAAAAAAAATAGGTTCCTCAGTTTTAATCTGTGACTCAGAAATGTCAGGAAAGAGGAAATGTGTGGGAGAAATATTCTCCTGTGTGTTTGAAATGATCCTTTTTCAAATGTCGCTGAGGTCAGATTTTTACCTTGAAGGTCAAGAAGAAAGAAGGAGACGTCAGACTGAAAACATGAGTCTGAAATCACAGACTGTGTACAGATGGACCATGCTAACCCGCTAGCTCAATTAAGCACAAAGGGGAATGAAGTTTGGCTCCAATATTATTAATTACAGTCTATGGCTCCAACTCGCTCCGGCTTCTCTTGACTTACATGTAGAAGTAAACTCCTCTAGCTCAGTTTGTGTCACAATCACCATTTTGGACTTAAAAAAGGTGTGGTTTATCACTCTCTGTGATCCTGGTGTTTATATTGTGATATTGTTTTTGTAAATCCAGATATGAGCCAATGTAAGGATTGACCAATCAGAGGCCTTCATCCATGGGGGAAATTCCACCTTGCCTCAGGATGGAACCAAATCAGCATCGTCTGCCTCCCTGTCTCCAGCTTATGTTGAAACTATGACGTCACCATAGACTAACACTGCAGTGATGTCACACTCTGTCACTCCGCTCTATGGTGGAAATCTGTGAATCATCAGAAGGTTTCCTCAGACTCAGCGTTTGTTCGACTGAATCATTCAGACACACTGCGAACATGTGTGAGTTCTGCTTTGATGGCGGAGCTAAAGCTGGGAACAGAGACAAAGAAAAACTGGAAATTCCTGATAAATGTATTGTCCACAAACCTGGGTGAAAGAGCACGGTCTTGAAATCATTAAAGAAGGTATTGAGGATGTGAGACGGGCCTCTAAACATGCCAGCAAAGCATTCAGTATTTTATTTTGGACGAGAGCAGAGGAAATGGTCCTAACCGAGCGGCTGCTGTGACCTAAAGTGCTGTTGAATTGTTCTATTGTTAGCTACTTTTAGAATCTTTATCTATTTATTTGTTTTGTTTGTATGAATGGATGTGTTTCTGCTTCTACTGGACGCCTGAATTTCTCCAACGGGATCTATCGATCTTTGATCTATCTCTGGCCATAATCAAAACTAGGTTGAAATGTCCTACTCATTATCCTGTCCTATGTGTATATAACTTTACATCCATCCATCCATCCATTTTCTACCCTTTAATCCATTTCTGGGTCAGGGGGGTGGCCGTCAGAGATGCCACCCAAGTCTCATAGCACCAGCCCCTCACTGATCCTCTGCAGGTGGTGAGTCCACAGGAGGACGGCTGCTCTCTGAGTGTGAGCATAGCCTTGATCTTTCAGTGGGGGCTTTGGGCAAAGTGGGGTTAAGTGTCTTGCCCAAGGACACAACGACAGCAGTCATCAGTGGGAGTCGGTGGAGAAGGTGCAGAGGTGGGAATTGAACCCACGACCTTCTGGCCTTAAGGCCAATGCTCTACCAACTGAGCTACTGTCGCCCCGTATAACTTTACACTATATAAAAATCAAAAAAGATAAGATAAGAGTTCCTTTATTCGTCCCACAGTGGGGAAATGTCGATGTTGCAGCGCACAGACAGGACAGTAGTGAGAGCACACAGGGAGCACACCAAATATACAAAAAAGTAGTAGCTGTATTACTTAACTATCTGTAAATGTTTTAAATGCTTCGATACCAGTCTTTCAAAATAAAATAAATATATATATGTAGTAGTGCAGAGTTATGAACTGTACATATAGTGCAGGATAATAAGTAGATAAAGTAAAGTGGCATTGTTCAGTGACATTCTGAAGGAGCAGTATTGCACATCACATGATTTAGTATTTATATACTGTATATATATATATATATATATATATATATATATATATGGTGAAGGTAACAATTGCCTGCAGCTCCCTCTGCTGTCACCGGGGGGGATAGATTTTTTCTCAAATTTGAAAATGACAGGCTGCAAACACAGACATGCAATGGTAAAGAACGTCATTTCACCTGAGAAATTACCAAAACTAATTTATAATACTTGAGTGTGATGTCATAGTGGTACAATGACATCATACTATCACAGGACTGAGACAGGAGCTTTCAGACAGAAGGGGCAGCGCTGCATGTTCACACCAGAAGTTCCTGATATTAGCGTGGATGGAGCTAAAAACAACGTTGGAACATAGAAAAAACATGGAGAAAACAGAGAAAGCTGATTTTTAAGTAAGTAAGTGATCTTTATTTATATAGCGCCTTTCACAGACCAGAGTCACAAAGCACTTTACAATTTGTTGTGGGCGTTTGTCTCACTCCTCACAGAGATGGGAGCAAGTTACTGTAGAAGAGATTCAGGAGACGCATAGCAGACCTATCGTACATTTTTTCAGTGGTAGGGGAAACCGGAGCACCCGGAGGAAACCTACCTATCAGACACGGGGAGAACATGCAAACTCTATTCATGAAGGCCCTGTTCCGACCGGGATTCGAACCGAGGACCTTTAAATGTCCCCTTTAAAATGTGTTCCTTAAGAGATTTCGGCATCAAATGGTATTTTAGGCAAAAAATATATGATAAAATGTATGAAGAATAAAAACACCATCAAACATTGCGTGCTGCAAACAGCTACACGGTTGTGAAGAATTTTAACAAGAGAATTCGCTAACACTGATTCTGAGGAAAAATTTGTTTGTTTTGGATGTGGTCATTAGCAGCAGAATGTGGCGTCTGCGTTCTCTCCATTGACCCACAAAGTTTGATTTTAGCTAAACTCTTATCTGTCCCAGTTTACAGCAAAGGACCTGAGTATCATCAAAGACACAGATACAATTCAACCAAAAACATTTTATTTTTACATAATGGTTGATATTGTAAAATAATACAATATATTTAAAACAAGATTTAACATATTGAAAATATTCAACTAGTAGAAATGTCTGGTGCACTTGTGGCCACCTGCAGGTAAAAGACCTCTGAAGCTCAAGAGGGCGGGGCCTGGTTAGTACTGTGATGGGAGACCTCTGGGAACACCAAGTAACTTAGTAATGTGCCTGTTGTTGTGTCCTTAGGCAAGACACGTTGCTCACATTGCCTCGTATCAGTCTGGTCTGTGTGAATTGTTTGTGGAGGTGTAAGTGTGGCCCAGGGTAGGTGTGGCTACAGTATTAGTTAATCACCACTGAGTATTTAGAAGTGTAAACAATGGTACATCTGGATAAACATGTCTAAAAACAGCAGAAATAATGAATACACATGTTTTACTCCAAAAAATAATTATTGTTTAGGTTCCAACAGTTCTGTGGGTGAGAAACCTGCCCTCTGCTTTTGACTCTTTAGTGAACTGAATACATGCATCTGTCTCCCTCTTGTGGACGAAGATGAGAACAACAGCCTATTAACGCAAACCTATCACATCTGCAAACTTTTTTCTTTAATAACACATTAAAATCTGCAGTGAACAAGAGTGAACAAGTGACGAGAGTAGTTTAAATAGAGCTGCAAGATTAATCACAATATCATGTAACTCGTCACAATTAGCTCTCTTAAAATAGAGAAATGTCACGAGACTTCTATGCCAATTTGGAAGGACACAAAAAGGTTCAAATTCATAGTTCAAATGCCCATTGTGATGTTATGCTAAAATTGCAGCTCTATTTTACATTATTAAATGGATAAGGAGGAACAGTTAAAGCTAAGTAGCGACAGGTCTTCTGGAGTTGAACACTTTGAGTCCGTTCTGAGTCGAAGACCGAGCGTATTTGGTGAGAAGAGCTCCGGTCGTCTGCTTCTCTCCACACAGGTCTCTGAGGAACAGGACAAAACTGTGTTAGTGGGAGGGAAGCTGACTTTTTTTTTTTTTAAATCAGAGAGAGACCAGAGAGAGAGAGATCAGAAAGAGGGAGTCCAAAGAAAAAGACAGACAAACCAGACAGAGACCAAAGATAATGACCAGAGAGAGAGACCAGAGAGAAATAAGGGAAAAGAAACGAGAGAGCCCAGAGAGAGAGCCCAGAGAAAAATAAGAGAAAAGAAACCAGAGAGAGACCAGAGAGAGACCAGAGAGAGAGACCAGAGAGAGACCAGAGAGAGAGCCCAGAGAGAAATAAGAGAAAAGAAACCAGAGAGAGAGACCAGAGAGAGAGCCCAGAGAGAGCCCAGAGAAAGACCAGAGAGAAATAAGAGAAAAGAAACCAGAGAGAGAGACCAGAGAGAGAGAGCCCAGAGAGAGAGCCCAGAGAGAGAGAGCCCAGAGAAAGACCAGAGAGAAATAAGAGAAAAGAAACCAGAGAGAGAGCCCAGAGAGAGAGCCCAGAGAGAGAGCCCAGAGAAAGACCAGAGAGAAATAAGAGAAAAGAAACCAGAGAGAGAGCCCAGAGAGAGACCAGAGAGAGAGAGCCCAGAGAGAGAGCCCAGAGAGAGAGAGCCCAGAGAAAGACCAGAGAGAAATAAGAGAAAAGAAACCAGAGAGAGAGCCCAGAGAGAGAGCCCAGAGAGAGAGCCCAGAGAGAGAGCCCAGAGAAAGACCAGAGAGAAATAAGAGAAAAGAAACCAGAGAGAGAGACCAGAGAGAGAGCCCAGAGAGAGAGCCCAGAGAGAGAGCCCAGAGAGAGCCCAGAGAAAGACCAGAGAGAAATAAGAGAAAAGAAACCAGAGAGAGAGAGACCAGAGAGCTTACTTGATGTAGGGGGTGATGTCGTCTTCGGTCCACTTCTCCCTCAGAGTGAAGAGCTGGTTGAATCTTTCCTGCGTGTCTTCGGGCAGATCCTCCACACGCAGTAGAGCGATGGTCTGAGGCCGAGATCCACGGTCCACCAGCGCCAAACCCTGAAACCACACAGGTGTGTTCAGGTGTGTGTGTGTTTGAGTGTGTGTCAAAAATGGACCCTACCCAAATAATGTTTTATAAAAAAAACGTACATGTCAGAAAACAGTTCTGTTCATGAAAATATGAGTTTTTAAGAGAAGGGTTGGGGGGATGTGTTTGTGCCAGTTTCTGATCACTGTTTTTGAGGAACACAATGAAAACCTCACAAAGATGTCGTTGCAGGTGTGTTGCATCTCTGTCGTTGCAGCTGTGGTCGTAGGCGTGTGGCCGCAGGCGTGTGGTCGCAGAAGTGTAGTCGCAGAAGTGTAGTCGCAGAAGTGTGGTCGCAGAAGTGTGGTCGCAGAAGTGTGGTCGCAGAAGTGTGGTCGCAGAAGTGTGGTCGCAGAAATGTGGCCGCAGGCGTGTTCGTCTCTGTCGTCGCAGATGTGTTCGGCTCTGTCAATGCAGTTGTGAGTTGTGTCGTTGCAGATGTGTCGCTGTTGTGGTGCCGTTGTGTCGTTACAGTTGTGTTGCGTCTGTGTTGTTGCAGATGTGTTGCGTTTGTGTTGTTGCAGTTTTGTTGCTTCTGCGTTGTTACAGTTGTGTTGCGTCTCACCTGCAGCTGGCTGAGACTCGTGCTCATCCCGTCTGGAACGCTCTGCTGCCAGACTTCCTGAAACTCCGACAGGTTGAACTTGACAGCGTTCTGCAGCAGCAGCAGAGCGAGGGCGCGGCACACGGAGTCCTGGTCCAGAGAGAACAGCACGAGTCCTGAGGAGGAGACATCACTCATCCACTGACCACGATGACACAGAACTACACTCACACTCACCGTCTTCGACAAACCGCCGACCGTAACAGTTCAGACAGTGTTCTATCATCTCCCTGAAACAGACATTACAGAAACATCACCATCGGGGCAGCTCTAACTAATGAACCTACTAGGACTCTGAGGAGCACAGGGACTGGACTCCTGCTGGTGCACAGAGTCAGGACTGAACATAGGGAGGCACCGTTTCAGATTTATGCAGCTACAATCTGGGGAACAGTCTTCCTGAAAACGTGAGGCAGGCTTTCTCTCTGGCAATATTTAAATCCAGGTTAAAAAAAGTTCAGTTTAGCTGCAACAACTGATGGATTGTATCTTTACTCACTATGATTATTAATGATGATGATTAATGCCTTGTGTGATTTTAATGTTTTTCTTGTTTGGTTCAGCACTTGTGTATGAACAGTGCTATACAAAAAAAAAACTTGCCTTGCCTTAATCATGTTGTTTAGGCCAAATGCAATGCAGCCAATAAAACTGTATGTAGCTCAATATTCAACTTCAGGCAGAAATACACCTCACTCTGAGCCTTTTGTACATCAGTGACTCACTTTGGCTCCAGCGCCGATAACTCGTCCAGACAGTTTTGAAGAGGAACTTTATTAAACGACCAGGATTCAGAGTCCACCAGCTGCGTCACGTGACCCAAGAGCTTCATCTCATAATCAAAGTCCAGCAGACGCCAGAACCCTTAAACAGAGACATGTGAGTGCGTGACCTCCACCTGGTCCTCATACCATCAGTGTTGTAGTCACCGTGAATTTGACAGGCGTGGAGGCTCCGCAGACCATCCTCCAACTCGGACTCAGACGCCTGGATCCGCTCCAGAAGGTCACTCATTGTGTACTGAAACAAATAAAATCATGATCCAGAGTGTGTCCTCTGTTGTGAGAGATACATGTTTATTATAATGATCTAGGGTGTGTCCTCTGTTGTGAGAAGATATACAGTATTTGTTTTTAATAAAGATGATCTAGAGCAGGGGTGTCCACATTTTTTATTAAGAGGGCCACTTTAGTTCATCAGACTTGACCTGGGGCCATCAACCTGGATTAAAAAAACTGGATTGACTGGTTTTTATGTGGAATGTTTTGACACAATCATAGCAAATAAAGAAATGTCAGTGAATAACATTAGTGTCAAAGTGCCTCAATGGTGACTTTGAGTGAGCAGCAGAGAGCCACATAAAATGGCACAGAGGGCCTGCAGGCCTGAGTTTGGACATGCCTGATCTACAGTGTACCTTTTCTCTGTATTACACTATTCTCTGTGTTTTCGGTGTTACCCTGTTCTCTGTGTTCTCTTCTTCTCCTCTCAGCGCTGGTCCTTCATAAACATTCTCCAACAAAAGCTTCTTGAGTTTCTTCAGTTTCGGCCTCTGTTTGCGCAGCTCCCAGTAGCTGTTGCAAAATCCCCAGATCTGGAATAGCAGGATTCTGGGTTATTGTTTGGCTAAAATAATCTTAATCTGATATAGTTGCAGATTTTTACCTGAGCATGAGCCACACGAGGGCAGGCCGGCCCCTCTGCCAGCTGCTCTGGACTCTGGCCCTCAGGAACAAACAGGAGCAGGTTGGAAGTGTCTGCGATCTTTAAGTCGTAAGTTTTGTCTCCGCTGCAGAGAACAGCGCGCTCCTCCTTGTCGCCACGAATCACCAGACTAAAAAAACAAAACATAATATTATCACCAATATGTCATTCTTTAAGGAGACATATTCTGCACAATCGACTTTTCTTGAGTCATTAACATTGGACCTCATCCATCACAGACCTAGATTCATCCGTGCTAATAATATTGGACAGCAGCAAGACTCACTCGCAGTCATTTACAATAAAAAAAGTTCTCCACAGACACTGCAGTCACACTACAGTCTGCTTCTATCAGAGCGCAGGTACAGGTCCCTCAGAGCGCAGGTACAGGTCCCTCAAAGCGCAGGTTCAGGACCCTCAAAGCGCAGGTACAGGACCCTCCCATTTAAAACTAAAAGGGCCACATCATCCAGCTTCCTCCCCACCTCAATCTATTGTTCAAACAGCTGATTGGAAGATGGTCCGCTCCGGCTGAAGTAGATTATGATCCGTTTTATTTATTTTATACTGCAATTCTGCACTTGCATTTCATATCTTGAGTTTCTGTGTTCCTCAGGGATATAATAAGTTATTTGAATTGAACGGATTAGGAACTTCTAGAACAAACATGTAACTCCGCCCCCTCTATCAAAAATCACCAGCATGTTTGATGTTATTGCACCACTAGACAGTTTTCTGTCTTTTAAAACATAAATGTTGCCCATAAATTGGTTGTGGTCATTTATGAGGTTTAATGATGTGTTTGCAGCTGGTAATTTGAGAAAAACAAACTCTACTCCTCCCTCTGGTGGTGGCAGAGGGAGTTACAGTCAGAACACATTTTTGTTTTTTTAAACCTTCATACTTGTTGCACCAGATATTGTCTTTTAAAAATAGAAATCCACTTAAAATATGTCTAATTATTTTTAATAGCTAAAAGTAATGTTCAGCATTTAGTCTTCAATGTTTCATGTCGAGATGTCATATTGACTTTTAAACTATGCTTTTGAATAGATTAAGATGAAGATCCTTGCCCACTGTTGGGAAATGCCAGTGTTGCATCACCAGTTACACTACAGTAGGAATGAGGAGCATACAGCGCATTTAGCATTATAAAGAAGCAAGTATAAAATCACTTTATAATAATCAAGAATAACATGTAAAATACTGTATATTCTAGTGGCAGAAATATATAGTTATATGTATGTACCTGTACATATGGGACAAAGTGAATAAGCAAAGTGACAGTAAACACATGTGGTTCTATATTGCACATTGTAACATTATTTAAAATTATACTACTTTAGTTTTGTTTCACTGAATGGCTTTGGACTTTCATAAATCATAAAACAAGTGTTTGCAGAGTGTGGTCATGTCCAATACTTTTATTTACAGTCTAGAGCAGGGGTCTCCAACCTGTAGCTCGGGAGCCACCAGTAGCTCGCCAGCCCCTTACAGGTAGCTCGCCAAAGGAATTAGAATTAAACAAATACACTTGAATAAATACTTTTTGAGCCCTTACATATCTATTATAAGTATAAATATAGGGTTATACAGTATTATGGTGTATTTTGTATGTGTTCTCCATGTTTCATAGTAATTATTAGATAGATTTGTATTACGACTGCAACATGGAGTAGCTCTCTGCCTCTTAGTTTCTATAAGAGTAGCTCTCCCCTCCATGTCCGGTGAACGAGTTCTACTTACTCATCGATCAAAATGCTCGAAAGTAGGCGTGGCTTAGACATTTTTCACAATAAAAGCCCACTGCCTCTGCGGGACCTCTAAAGTCCGAAATAAAGACTTCTTTCTCGTAGTGTTTCTGACGAAGGATTGCTATCACATATAATCAACGTAAATCAGATGTGTTGTTGCTGTTCCATATACTGTCTGTGAATCGCGAACTGTTTCCCATGACACTGACCTGAACAGCTGCAAGGTGCGCAGTTTAACCTGGAGCTGCGGTGGGACTGTGGTGTTTCCATTCAATAAACACGCTCACAACAGCGATTTACAAACACATGACCAGCGCCTGCTCTCACACATTGTTCTCATATACTACAGTCATAAGAAATATTGATGTAGAAAAAGAAATCACATGTGGAATTAATGCTGTATGTGATCGCTATCACAGACCAGGAAAAGGACGTTCGGGTTGTATGAGTGAGCAATAATGTGACTAATAATGAGCATGCAACTGTGACAGGACGAACATGTGTGTGTGTGTAAAGCATGACAGCAGCAAGAGGGTGTCACTGAAAGATGACAGCAGACGGCCAAACACATGTTTTATTTGTAGAGTGGGCTAGATCCACCTGCGTGTCCGCGTACTCGCACCCCGCTTCATCTGTCTCCAAAGCATTGTAACGCAATGTCACTGGCAATAGAATGGTACACCCTGTTCCTGTTACCTGTGTCGTGTAGCCACAGACACACACACATAGATCGTACGCTCGGACGCGGTTTGGTACGTGGTGCAGCGACAGATTAACGTCTCAGAGACGTCTCTGCAGCATTTCTCTGTCACAGCGCTGCGGACTATGTGTTTTACGCGTTGCTCGGTCACAATTTCATGTCACAATTGTTCCCTTGTGTGCAGTATGACTGGACCAACATAAACATTTGTAATGAGCACAGCACAACACTGACATGAGCAGCTGCAAGGTTTGCAGGTGTACCACGTCCACCCCAAATATACATCATTTTGGCCATCTGCTACTGTCAGCGACATGTCCAGCAATCAACATTAATTTGTATGCATATTCATCATCATTCATGGGCATTGGTCTTTCTCTATGAACCAATACACATGGGTTCAATATTTCCTGGGTCTTCGCTGTTGATTCTCCAATCTGTGTTGGTGATTTCAACGTGTCTGTGTGGTCCTCTGAGATGACTGCTGCACAGTCCATCTCACACAAGGCACACATCTTTACATGAAACACACACAAAGATTAAACACCAGGCAAATCACACATGCAATGAAATAAACAAACCATCACACAAGGGACTCTTAATAACCACAGTGCACAACAAAATGGAGATACAATTCCTCGCACACACAACCCTCATCATAACTTTCATTTGAACATTGTCTTCCCCCACATGTTTAGTCTTGACTGTGGGCGCCAGCAGAGTCAGACTGATCATATGGCACCAACATGTCACAGATGTACCCTGGTGCGGGGCCGTGTTGAATCAGGCCTCCATAGAATATATATGGCTGGGAGAAAACCCACTGGGCCATCATTGCACGTTATTACTGGCCTAAAATGGAGAGGGACATTCAGTCATGGGTATGTTTGGGCCTATTGACTGTCTATATAATGCACTCAGTGGCTTTGATCTCAATAATGTAAAATCTTGATGAGGATTTCTTATATTGCTATTATTACTAACAAAAGGTGAAGCAGTGCACTGAGTGCCAAATTTCTATCGCTTTGGCGCCCCACAGAGGATCCTCACAGACGTGGCACTGAATTCATCAATAAGGTAGGCCTAGGGAAGAATAAGGCTGTTCGTGTTCAGGATTGTGTCATTGCTTGTGAATTCCGTTGATTACAGCAGTATGCAGACAACTAGGGGTGAAGCTCAGTATGTGTTCCCCCTACCACCCTTCCACCAATGGTTTGATGGGGAAGGACATAGGCAACAAGGTGGGTGTTTCCGTATGGACAGCGAAGATGAGGAGACCGCAAGCCTGAAGCCCCTGATGGCACTGTAAGAAACGTATGACTTTGGGGTACCTGTTATGGAGGGTTGTTAGTGGAGCATGAATCTCACAATGTTCACACCTCTGTCTGTATTCCAGTTCTACAGCTGATCACAGCAAGCATGAGCACCATGTGTTGTGGAGCCGAATTGGGCCATTTAGTCTCTTCACAAGCAACTTCAAGTACTGCAAGCTAGAGGGACACTTTGTAAACATTCTTGTTCACCTTTTGTGTGTATTCCTAAATGTACAAACATGTCAATGTGCACATAACTGGTAAAATGATCAGGCAATAACAGCCCAGAACATGACATCCACTCATTGAGTATACATGTCTATTAGTATATTATTCCTGAGTAGTAACGTGAGACTATGGGCTCACCTTAGCTCCCAGCTATTGGACTTAATTGGATTCATGGAGTTGGAGGCCTGATTCAACACGGCCTCGCACCAGGGTACATCTGTGACATGTTGGTGCCATATGATCAGTCTGACTCTGCTGGCGCCCACAGTCAAGACTAAACATGTGGGGGAAGACAATGTTCAAATGAAAGTTATGATGAGGGTTGTGTGTGCGAGGAATTGTATCTCCATTTTGTTGTGCACTGTGGTTATTAAGAGTCCCTTGTGTGATGTTTTGTTTATTTCATTGCATGTGTGATTTGCCTGGTGTTTAATCTTTGTGTGTGTTTCATGTAAAGATGTGTGCCTTGTGTGAGATGGACTGTGCAGCAGTCATCTCAGAGGACCACACAGACACGTTGAAATCACCAACACAGATTGGAGAATCAACAGCGAAGACCCAGGAAATATTGAACCCATGTGTATTGGTTCATAGAGAAAGACCAATGCCCATGAATGATGATGAATATGCATACAAATTAATGTTGATTGCTGGACATGTCGCTGACAGTAGCAGATGGCCAAAATGATGTATATTTGGGGTGGACGTGGTACACCTGCAAACCTTGCAGCTGCTCATGTCAGTGTTGTGCTGTGCTCATTACAAATGTTTATGTTGGTCCAGTCATACTGCACACAAGGGAACAATTGTGACATGAAATTGTGACCGAGCAACGCGTAAAACACATAGTCCGCAGCGCTGTGACAGAGAAATGCTGCAGAGACGTCTCTGAGACGTTAATCTGTTGCTGCACCACGTACCAAACCGCGTCCGAGCGTACGATCTATGTGTGTGTGTCTGTGGCTACACGACACAGGTAACAGGAACAGGGTGTACCATTCTATTGCCAGTGACATTGCGTTACAATGCTTTGGAGACAGATGAAGCGGGGTGCGAGTACGCGGACACGCAGGTGGATCTAGCCCACTCTACAAATAAAACATGTGTTTGGCCGTCTGCTGTCATCTTTCAGTGACACCCTCTTGCTGCTGTCATGCTTTACACACACACACATGTTCGTCCTGTCACAGTTGCATGCTCATTATTAGTCACATTATTGCTCACTCATACAACCCGAACGTCCTTTTCCTGGTCTGTGATAGCGATCACATACAGCATTAATTCCACATGTGATTTCTTTTTCTACATCAATATTTCTTATGACTGTAGTATATGAGAACAATGTGTGAGAGCAGGCGCTGGTCATGTGTTTGTAAATCGCTGTTGTGAACGTGTTTATTGAATGGAAACACCACAGTCCCACCGCAGCTCCAGGTTAAACTGCGCACCTTGCAGCTGTTCAGGTCAGTGTCATGGGAAACAGTTCGCGATTCACAGACAGTATATAAAACAGCAACAACACATCTGATTTACGTTGATTATATGTGATAGCAATCCTTCGTCAGAAACACTACGAGAAAGAAGTCTTTATTTCGGACTTTAGAGGTCCCGCAGAGGCAGTGGGCTTTTATTGTGAAAAATGTCTAAGCCACGCCTACTTTCGAGCATTTTGATCGATGAGTAAGTAGAACTCGTTCACCGGACGGCCCCCACAGTAGTGTTTTAAGTCTCGTCTTAAGACCCACTTTTACTCTTTGGCTTTTAACACTGTGTGAGTTGTGTGGTCCTCTGTGTTTTTATTTTTCTATTTATGGTTTTAATCTGTGTTATATATTTTTATTCTTTTATACTTGGTGAAGCTAAGGATAAGTTGTTATTTATTTTATACTTTTTTGTGCAGCACTTTGGAAACGTAACTGTTGTTTAAATGTGCTCTGGTCTTTCTCTGGTCTCTCTCTGGTCTTTCTCTGGTCCCTCTCTGGTCTCTGGTCTTTCTCTGGTCCCTCTCTGGTCTCTCTCTGGTCTCTCTCTGGTCTCTCTCTGTGTACCTCCCTGGTCTCTCTCTGGTCTCTCTCTGGTCTCTCTCTGGTCTCCCTCCTGTGTCTCTCTCTGGTCTTTCTCTGGTCTCTCTGGTCTTTCTCTGGCTTCTGTTCCCTCTCTCTGGTCTCCCTCCTGTGTCTCTCTCTGGTCCTCTCTCTGGTCTCCCTCCTGTGTCTCTCTCTGGTCTCTCTCTGGTCTCCCTCCTGTGTCTCTCTCTGGTCTTTCTCTGGTCTCTCTCTGGTCTTTCTCTGGCTTCTGTTCCCTCTCTCTGGTCTCCCTCCTGTGTCTCTCTCTGGTCTCTCTCTGGTCTCTCTCTGGTCTCTCTCTGGTCCCTCTCTGGTCCCTCCCTGGTCTCTCTCTGGTCTCTCTCTGGTCTCTCTCTGGTCTCTCTCTGGTATCTCTCTGGTCTCTCTCTGGTCCCTCTCTGGTCCCTCCTTGGTCTCTCTCTGGTCTCTCTCTGGTCTTTCTCTGGTCTCTCTCTGGTCTTTCTCTGGTCCCTCTCTGGTCTCTGGTCTTTCTCTGGTCTCTCTCTGGTCTTTCTCTGGCTTCTGTTCCCTCTCTCTGGTCTCCCTCCTGTGTCTCTCTCTGGTCTTTCTCTGGTCTCTCTGGTCTTTCTCTGGCTTCTGTTCCCTCTCTCTGGTCTCCCTCCTGTGTCTCTCTCTGGTCTCTCTCTGGTCTCCCTCCTGTGTCTCTCTCTGGTCTCTCTCGGGTCTCCCTCCTGTGTCTCTCTCTGGTCTTTCTCTGGTCTCTCTCTGGTCTTTCTCTGGCTTCTGTTCCCTCTCTCTGGTCTCCCTCCTGTGTCTCTCTCTGGTCTCTCTCTGGTCTCTCTCTGGTCTCTCTCTGGTCCCTCTCTGGTCCCTCCCTGGTCTCTCTCTGGTCTCTCTCTGGTCTCTCTCTGGTCTCTCTCTGGTCTTTCTCTGGTCTCTCTCTGGTCTTTCTCTGGTCTCTCTCTGGTCTTTCTCTGGTCCCTCTCTGGTCTCTGGTATTTCTCTGGTCTTTCTCTGGTCTTTCTCTGGCTTCTGTTCCCTCTCTCTGGTCTCCCTCCTGTGTCTCTCTCTGGTCTCTCTCTGGTCTCTCTGGTCTTTCTCTGGCTTCTGTTCCCTCTCTCTGGTCTCTCTCCTGTGTCTCTCTGGTCTCTCTCTGGTCTCTCTGGTCTCTCTCTGGTCTCTTTCTCCGGTCTCTCACCTGCCTCTCTCTCCTCCCTCTCTGGTCTCTCTCTGGTCTCTCACCTGTATCTATCTCTGGTCCCTCTCTGGTTCCTCTCTGGTCCCTCTCTGGTCCCTCTCTGGTCCCTCTCTGGTTCCTCTCTGGTCTCTCTCTGGTCCCTCTCTGGTTCCTCTCTGGTCCCTCTCTGGTCCCTCTCTGGTTTCTCTCTTGTCTCTCTCTGGTCTCTCTCTGGTCCCTCTCTGGTCTCTCTCTTGTCTCTCTCTGGTCTTTCTCTGGCTTCTGTTCCCTCTCTCTGTTCCCTCTCTGGTCCCTCTCTGGTCCCTCTCTGGTCCCTCTCTGGTCCCTCTCTGGTCCCTCTCTGGTCTCTCTCTTGTCTCTCTCTGGTCTTTCTCTGGCTTCTGTTCCCTCTCTCTGGTCCCTCTCTGGTCCCTCTCTGGTCCCTCTCTGGTCCCTCTCTGGTCTCTCTCTTGTCTCTCTCTGGTCTCTCTCTGGTCTTTCTCTGGCTTCTGTTCCCTCTCTCTGGTCCCTCTCTGGTCCCTCCCTGGTCTCTCTCTGGTCTCTCTCTGGTCTCTCTCTGGTCTCTCTCTGGTATCTCTCTGGTCTCTCTCTGGTCCCTCTCTGGTCCCTCCCTGGTCTCTCTCTGGTCTCTCTCTGGTCTTTCTCTGGTCTCTCTCTGGTCTTTCTCTGGTCCCTCTCTGGTCTCTGGTCTTTCTCTGGTCTCTCTCTGGTCTTTCTCTGGCTTCTGTTCCCTCTCTCTGGTCTCCCTCCTGTGTCTCTCTCTGGTCTTTCTCTGGTCTCTCTGGTCTTTCTCTGGCTTCTGTTCCCTCTCTCTGGTCTCCCTCCTGTGTCTCTCTCTGGTCTCTCTCTGGTCTCCCTCCTGTGTCTCTCTCTGGTCTCTCTCTGGTCTCCCTCCTGTGTCTCTCTCTGGTCTTTCTCTGGTCTCTCTCTGGTCTTTCTCTGGCTTCTGTTCCCTCTCTCTGGTCTCCCTCCTGTGTCTCTCTCTGGTCTCTCTCTGGTCTCTCTCTGGTCTCTCTCTGGTCCCTCTCTGGTCCCTCCCTGGTCTCTCTCTGGTCTCTCTCTGGTCTCTCTCTGGTCTCTCTCTGGTCTTTCTCTGGTCTCTCTCTGGTCTTTCTCTGGTCTCTCTCTGGTCTTTCTCTGGTCCCTCTCTGGTCTCTGGTATTTCTCTGGTCTTTCTCTGGTCTTTCTCTGGCTTCTGTTCCCTCTCTCTGGTCTCCCTCCTGTGTCTCTCTCTGGTCTCTCTCTGGTCTCTCTCTGGTCTCTCTCTGGTCTCTTCTTTCTCTGGCTTCTGTTCCCTCTCTCTGGTCTCTCTCCTGTGTCTCTCTGGTCTCTCTCTGGTCTCTCTGGTCTCTCTCTGGTCTCTTTCTCCGGTCTCTCACCTGCCTCTCTCTCCTCCCTCTCTGGTCTCTCTCTGGTCTCTCACCTGTATCTATCTCTGGTCCCTCTCTGGTTCCTCTCTGGTCCCTCTCTGGTTCCTCTCTGGTCTCTCTCTGGTCCCTCTCTGGTCCCTCTCTGGTCCCTCTCTGGTCCCTCTCTGGTTTCTCTCTTGTCTCTCTCTGGTCTCTCTCTGGTCCCTCTCTGGTCTCTCTCTTGTCTCTCTCTCTTTCTCTGGCTTCTGTTCCCTCTCTGGTCCCTCTCTGGTCCCTCTCTGGTCTCTCTCTTGTCTCTCTCTGGTCTTTCTCTGGCTTCTGTTCCCTCTCTCTGGTCCCTCTCTGGTCCCTCTCTGGTCTCTCTCTGGTCTCTCTCTGATCCCTCTCTGGTCCCTTTCTGGTCTCTCTCTTGTCTCTCTCTGGTCTCTCTCTGGTCTCTCTCTGGTCCCTCTCTGGTCCCTCTCTGGTCTCTCTCTGGTCTCTCTCTTGTCTCTCTCTTGTCTCTCTCTGGTCTCTCTCTTGTCCCTCTCTGGTCTCTCTCTTGTCTCTCTCTGGTCTCTCTCTTGTCTCTCTCTGGTCTCTCTCCGGTTCCTCTCTTGTCCCGCTGTAGTCTCTCTCCGGTCTCATTTGTTGCGTTTTCAAACGGATCTCTATTTATTTACTCTGAACAAAATCTAACGTTTTAAAAATCACTGCACATCGACGATCACATTGTCTTTTTGTCAGACGTACATTTCACAGTTTGAGATTTTGCTAGCATCATGCAGCTCTAAATTCAAGTCAGAAGCTTTCAAATGAGGACTACCGCACTGCACTCGTCTGACAGATCCAGGAGGGGGCGATGTCGGGCTGTTAATCTAGTTTCGACATGTTTGTATGAATATTGACTGAACCGAAAATAACAAAGCATTTGTTAAAGCCATCAGTATTTCACTGTCCTCTGCATGTGTCCTTCACTTTGTAACGCACCTTTTTCGATCGTTCAGCCGCTCACACCTAATATCATATTCAAACATAACTATTTTAATAAAGTTCAACATGAAAAAGTATTGAAGCTGGGGTACGTAACTTTATATTGTAGTTTTTCTCTATGATGAAATCCATGTCAGTCATTTCTGGCTCTAAAACACTTTGCTTCTTGTAATCTGATTTCTTCACATTTTGACTTTTACAAGACTTTCTGTTGAACAAATACGTAATATATGATAAAAAGTTATGGACCTCAGCTTTAACTGACCTGCATTTTTATCAGTTTTTCCAAAGCATTGATGGTATCTCTCGCCTGCGCTTTTGTTTGAAATGAAAGATGAAAGAAAATGAACTCTTTGTGTTTACTGTGGACAAAACAAAGATTCAATCTGCTTTTCTCATCTGAATGTTCTCTCTCTCTCCACAGACCTGAGGATTACAAGATGAAATGAAGCCGGACCTTTATTAAACTTCAGGCTCTGACATCTCTCATGTGAACGATCAGGGCTGGGACCAAACTCACCTGAAGCTCGAAACCAAATCATACCTGAAATGTTGAAGTATCGAGACGTCCATTGATTTTTGAATTGCACCAGTATAACTCCAAACAGGAAACGATAATGAGATAATTATCCTCATTTACAAAGTGTGGAGCTGAGGCAGTCGTTCAGCAGCCTCTCGCCTCTTACAAGAGCACAGGGGCCGTCTGCACTCTCAGGAATCATTGTTTTGGCTCCAAGGACTTTTATTCATCACAGTCCAACTCCCAGAGCAGTCACTTTGATGGCTCTTAGATTTGGAAGTCTACTTACTCAGCTCATGTTAATTTTTGGTTTCTATATGTAGTTTATTTCTGTATAATATATTTTTATGAATTCATCTTGTGTTGGTAATTTCCTAACTTTGGCAGATAAAGTCCCCTTTTCAAGGCGCTGGTCCTGAACTGGTGTCTGGACTGGGTCTAGTTCTGAGCCGAGAGAAAAGTCAGTGCTAGTTAGCAAAGCAACAGGGTTTACGGTTAGCATTTACACAAACTGTTTGTGCTGTATTTCAGATATTTTACTAGTTTTAGCACTTAATGAAAACGAGATAAGTTTAAAACCTTATCAATTACTTTTTATCCATCTCAGAATTCCATTGGTTTAAATGTGAGCAGTTAAAAAGACTGCTTTGGGAGTTTTAGTAGTTTCAAAATTCTTGGGAGTTTTAGTGTTAAAGATCTGGACCTCTCCCTCTGGACCCATCTCTCTGGACCTCTCACTCTGGACCCCTCCCCCCTGGACCTCTCACTCTGGACCCCTCCCTCTGGATCTCTCACTCTGGACCCCTCCCTCTGGACCTCTCACTCTGGACCCCTCCCTCTGGACCTCTCACTCTGGACCCCTCCCTCTGGACCTCTCACTCTGGACCCCTCCCTCTGGACCTCTCACTCTGGACCCCTCCCTCTGGACCTCTCACTCTGCACCTTCTCTCTGGACCCCTCCCCTCTGGACCCCTCACCTCTGGACCTCTCCCCTCTGGACCCTCCCCCCTGTTTGTTGTACAGAGCGTCCCAGCCCTGGTTTGGATAACGACAGATGAAGACGTTTGTTTGATATTTTTAATTGTAAAAAAAAAATAAAAATAAAAAAAGCAAAACATAAAAATAAATAAAGTCATGACGGATAAAACGTGTGGATTTCAGTCCGTTAAACTTTCACAAATGTGTCACAAGCAAAGCGACAAACCCAGAGCAACGCAAAGAATCCAAATTATTACAAAGAAGTCTTTCTGTTTTGAGTAGAGACAAAAAGGTTGAAAACTTGGAGATCTCCATAAGTGCAGTTTGTAGTTTGTAGTTCACACAGGAGACGTGTTTCTGTCTGCTCCACAGCGCCCCCTCTGGCTCACAATGGTATCAGCACATTGTGAATCTCATATCGATCGCTCTGCTCTCTGCCCCTTTACACCACATCGCTGCAACCAAAGTCTGCGCTAGTGTTGGGAGTTACTTTTATAATATATTCCATTTTGAAGCAACTCTTTACAAAAGTTATTGTGGAAATGTATTACAGATTTTAAGTATATAAATGACATCTGTGTGAAAGTTGCGTTACATTTTAAAATCTGTAATATTATGAGTGAATATATTACATTTGTATCCCAGTAACCAGCTGAATATAAGAACTATTTTGAGTTACTTCCACAGACAGGTTCAGTCAATCAAGTCAGAATCCACAGATATTTTTCATTTGAACAAAAATGTGGGCGTGGTAGTCAGAGGAGCCAGGGGGAGGAGCCAAAAGAAGCAATGCCGTCTGATTGGCTGAAAGAGGGCGCTTATCTCTCTCTACTTGTTTGAGATTTTAGTCGAGTTTATGAGCACAGAGATCTTGTTGGACAGTTGTGTGTAGATTAGATCCAGAACTTCAAATACAAAGGTCTGCGCACGTATACTGTACAGCTGTGTATTTTCCTCATATCAGTACTGCTCCTGGGTCCTCTACGACTGTCTAGACCAGGGTTTCCCAAAGTGCGGTCCTCAGAGCTATTACAGTGACAAGCAGTGGAGATCGAAATCACATTAACAAATATAAGGTTAGAAATGCTGATATTAAATCCTTGATCATAAAGACAGCGGAGATGATCCAGAACATTGGCCATCTGCCCCGTTATGGACCCACGTTCTTGTGTTTGAAGGGTTTGATTCTCTGATCTGTGTTGGGGAATCGACAGCTTTGTGAAAACTACTGTTGTGATTTAGGGCAATACACAAATAAAATGGATTGAATTGAAAGCTTGTTTGTACTTTGGGAACAGCTTGTCTGGACATTTGGCAGTAATATAATTAGAGAGACACGGGCAGAAGGGCTGACCAGTTTTCAGAATGACAGACTTAAAGCTGGGGTATGTGACTTTACTTTATTCTAAAATATATTTTTCCTTTTGTCCAAACAGAAAGAGTCTTGTAAAATGTTGTGAACAAACTAGATCACAACGCGCTGTCTTCATCTTATTCAAAAACATGCTATTTCCCTTGAGTTGTGTTTGACTCTTTGGGGCTGAGAGCTGATTGGCTGAGAGCGGGTGGTCCTCTTTTATCACTTTTCTGTCTGAAAAAGCTGATCTAAAAATGTGAGGCCAAAAATACATGCGCGTGAAAACTATCGAGGAAGTACTGACGTGGGTTTTAATTCAGAGTTCCATTGTTGTGGTCTGAAAGTTACGTACCCCAGCTTTAAACACATTGGCTCATGACACAGACTCAATCCACTGATCCTGTGGCGTGTCCAGGCTGAAGGGACATGAACACATGATTTGAGGTTTAAAAACACATGCAAACATCAGAGACTTGTAGAGAAAAGAACAGAGTGTGTTTTAAACTTCCATCACAGGACGATACAACATGGATCAGGCACTTTGTTTCCCTTCGTCACAGTCTCCTCCAACAGTTCAAAAGTCTATTTACACGCAGCTCCTCGCACACTCACCGCTGGTTCATGCAAAGGGGATTCTTACTTTCACTTTCAGTCTTTTCTGTGGTTTTCAGACCAGAAGTTGACATATTCACTGCTGCAGCTGATGATCCTGGGTCTAAGCAAGACTTTACTGGGTCGCTAGGCTAATGCTAACGCTAACATAACTTGTAGCCTCTTTCTCTGATATCTGTTCATGTCTTTTTGTTTCCTGTTTTTATTTTATGTTCCTAATGGGAAGCGCTTTGTATCCTTAGTTTGGGAAAGGCGTTATATTAATAAACTTGGTAGTCACATTACACGTTGTTCATCACTAAACAAAAAAAATCTACAATTTGCAAGTTTTTGAAATAAAACTCTTCTTTATTATCATGAATTATGTTTTATTTGTGTTGACAATAACACTTAACTATTCAAAAAGAGTGTTGGCCAACTTCATGCTGGGTTTTTAAATGTCTTAAATTATTGTTTACTGTGTTGAAAAGCTAATTTTAATGCTAGCATAATGCCTATTACATGTTTAAAAAAAAAAAAACTATTTACCTGTTTGGATCACAAAAACCTTGCAAATATGGGATTTTAAAATAGATTTGACCAAAAAAAAAAAAGCTAAAATGAGGAATACTCTTGAGAATATCTTTTTGTAGACTAATTGGGTTGTTTAAAGCTAAGGTACCTCACTTTATTTTCTCAAAAATAACACGTGTAGTTTGTCCAACAGAAATAGTCTTTTAAAAGTAAGCTAATTGGAAAACATGTTATATTTGTGTAAGAACGAGTCATCAGTCACTGTTTGAGCTGAGAGCTGATTGGCCGAGTGAGGGGGGGTCCTCCTTTTTCCCTTTTCTGTCTGAAAAAGCTGATCTAATGAAGTGAAAGAGGCCAAACATACGTAAACGTGAAAACTCGTGATAGAAGCAACGGATTTAGAGCCTTGGATCTTATTACTTTGTTTTATTGAAATTCACTTACCCCAGCTTTGTTTACGCATTGTTAGGTCATCTCTGCATCACAGCTTTAATTTGAGTTGTTTAAATATGGATTCATTGTTGACAAGAATTATTATTTCTGATCACATTTTGAAAAAACTGAAAAAAATGTTTACTATTTTTGCATAGTTTTAATTAAAAACTCTGGGCCCTAACGAGGGACACAACAGGGGTGTGTTTGTGTTCTGGTCTGAAACCGAATGGAAAGAGACTGCAGTAAGGATTCAAAAAGGTTCATTTTGTCTTCAGTTAAAATGTTTTTTGTGGTTCTTTTGAAAGATAAGTAAAATGTAATAGACCAGACTTGGGCAAAGTGCGGCCCGAGTACCAGATGAGGGGCGATTCACATTTCTAAGCGGCCCCTGGACCCTTGTGCTTCCATGGGCTGTTTTACATTTATTCTGTTCTCATTAATGAACCTAAATTGTTTTTGGTAATAATTTGCGCTAAAAACGGCCACATCTTTATGTGTATTAAATATAAACTAAATATAACAAAATATACATCTTTGTTAACATTTTAATGCTGAAGGTTTTTTGGCGGAATAAAATGAAAAATTTGACACATGAAATTGGGTCCAGCCCTCCGCAACAGGGCGATATCTCAAAGAAAATAATTGCCAAACTGTGAAACAAGGTCATGCATCTTGTCTTTCAAAAGAACCACAAAAAACACAGACTGCAGAAATTTGTGAGTAAAAATCCCACTTCCCGGCAGCGCGTCGCTCCGTGTGCGCGGCTGCAGAAGGCGAACGCCACTTTGTCCCGGACCTCCCCGTGGTTCTCCCCGTGGTTCTCCCCGTGGTTCTCCCCGTGGTTCTCCCCGTGGTTCTCCCCGTGGTTCTCCCCGTGGTTCTCCTCCTCTCACACTGGAGTCTTTCTCTTAAACCTCTCCTCCTCCTCGCTGTCTCCCATCACCTTCACGTCGCTGCTGCTGCGCTGAGCCCGGACGTCCCGCGAAAACCTGCGCACTCCCGGCGACCGCAGCTCCACGTCCTCAGAGCGCGGGCGGGTCGGGTATGCCTGGTGCGCACTGCGGGGGTATCCGCGGTAGTACGGGTCCTCCTCTTCCTCCTCCTCATCATCATCTTCGGCTCTCGGGTCGTGGGTGTAAGCAGAGGGGTTGTAGGGTTGGTAGCCCGCGTGAGGCAGGCGTTGCACTGGGCGCATTGGGAATACTGAGGTCAGTGCACGGGTATGAGGTGTTAACGAAGCCGAACGAAATGGAAAACTTTCAATGTTCAGGATTAAGCAGCGAGAAGAGATTATACTGCTACAGAAAATGTACTTTTATGACTTGGATTCAGGATTTTTGTCTTTATTTCAGGTATTGTTTTGACTAGAACGTACAAACACTTGAGAGAGTCCCTCTGTAAGTAAGTAAGTAAGTAAGTAATCTTTATTTATATACCGCCTTTCACAGACCAGAGTCACAAAGCGGTTTACAATTGTTATTATTTGGGCATTCGTCCTCTCACTCCACACAGAGATGGGAGCGGGGTCGCCAGTACAGAAGGTGCACGCGGGTCCTATTGTGCATGTTTTTAGTGGTAGGGGAAACCGGAGTACCCGGAGGAAACCTACGCAGACACGGGGAGAACATGCAAACTCCACTCAGAAAGGCCCTGGTCCGACTGGGAATCGAACCCAGGACCTTCTTGCTGAGAGGCGAGAGTGATATCCACTCAGCCACCGTGCCCCCTCTGTGTTATTGCTAAAAGCCCAGCGCCTCTCGAGTTGTTGACTTTGTTAGACTATGCACTCGGCATTCATTTGTGATCGTGGCACAGTTATGGTATTTAGCGCTAATGTAGCTGGTAAGAAAGTACCATTTGTCATCCGTTAAACTTCAGCTCTGTCTAAGGCAGGGGTCCCCAAACATTTTATTTGTATTCATTTATTACTTAGTCCCCATGTGAAGCATCTTTGAGTATCCCAAAATGCGCTGTTACAAGTTTGATGTATTATTATTATCATTATTAGAAAGAGGGCCACTTCAGTTCACCAGACTTATCCAGGGGCCCACAAACCTGGATTGAAAAAAGTTTTTAACTGGATTCGGTTTGTTCTGAGCTTGAAGGAGCTGAAGTTGGCTGAATGACAAATGTTTACCATCGCAGCAGCAACATAGCGCCATAGACAGAACAATCCAAGACAGGTGCCAGTATATACAATTTAAACGAGGTACAATATGTACTATACATTCACAACTTGCATGTGTGAATACGACCCACACAGCCTTATGCTAATGCAGTGAATCGATTTGGTTTGAAACTTTCTGACTTTTGAAAAACCTTTGCAACCTGAATTCAAACTGACGAGTTGTTCATTTGTCACAGTGAAGAAGAACTCGATAGAACCCTGAACCCTGGCTTTAACTGTCTCTTAATGTGAATATCTAAGCTTCGAGCAGAGCGCCCTGGGACTGTGCGTGAGCAGATCGGAGTCCCCTGATGACAGCTATGAGATTATGTGAGCTGAGAAGTAGGTTAATGAAGCTGTGTTTTACTACAGCGAAACACACAACTGGGACGCAGTGGGAAGACCGAGATACAGATCACAAATCACGCTAATCAGCAGCAGTATTTAGTGCATTAGCTGGTTTTAAAGGAGCTGAGGGTGTCTGTGTGTGCGACAGATGGTACAACGAACACACGTGAGGTGAGAGCACTTCACACAGAGGGAATGATCTTCTCCTGTTTTGTCTTTGCGGCTGTTAAACACATGACTTTAGTGGGAGAAATGGGAGACAGAGATAGATATTGAAGAGCTAAAATGTAGGCTATTCTTCAAGATCAGGTCTATTCAGCTTGTGGCCCAGAGGCAGAATCAAAACGTTTAAAGATATTCTCTGTTCCTTCAGCTATAAGACTGACAATTAGCTATTTAGTTTTAGATGTATCTACTGTGTTTGCATTGATGGATGTGTCTATCTATCTCTATCTCTATCAGAATCCAGACCTCTGCCCATGTTCACAATGTTCGCAATAATACTCAGTCCTGGGCTTGAATCTGGGTGGAATTTGCATGTTCTCCCTTTTGTCAGTGCAGGTTTCACCAGGGTGCTCCAGTTTCACCTACCACTATAAACATGAAATAAAATCCTCCAGCTCCGGTTCTGACCAAGTTGAGTCTTCCCCGAGAAGAAGAATGATCCTGCCCCCGTTTTCCAATTATTGAATATATTTCCCAGCTCGGTCAATGACAATGAACAATATTGACATGGTTGCCTGATTTTTTAATCTGCTATTGGTGTATCAAGAGTTCTGTGATACCCTCCTGCGGTTGTCATTTTGGGCTGGACAAATGTACATTCACAACAAGCACATTACCTGTGTGTACCATGTGTGTGTTTGGGGATCACAGGAACACTTAAAACCTGTGGCCTTGGCTCTTGGGCCAAAGCTCCGTTCCACAGGTGTGTCAATGCTGAGGGGGGTGAATTTTTTTGGACCAGTCTGGTTTGGTCACTGGGAATTTTGCAAGTCTCTCGTTCAAATGAATGGAGCTGCGCCGGCTGACGCATGCGCAGATGCGTTTTTTCACATTTTTCTTGTGGGCGGGACCACTCGCGGCCATTTTGGATAGCTCTAGTAGAGCACATTTTTTGGCCCATTTGTTTGAACGGCGGAGATAGGCGTGACTCTGTCCGTTAATATATACAGTCTCTGGGTGTTGCTGATGCACTAAAACAATAAAAATGTTCGCCATCTGCTGGACGTTTGCCGAAATGCACACCATTGAAATGATACGGGACTGGAGGAATATGAGAGATTTTTCCCTAATTTCCTTTCCAAATTAAATACAGGTCCTCACCAAGAGCATCTACAAAACAAATTTGAAAATAACAGACATTATGGGACAAGTGCGCAGAACGCAAGATGAGTTTTTGTTGAATAGAACTAGTCAAAAACTGCATAAATGTAAATCCAAAGTCCTGAATCAAGTCATTTTAAATAATTCAGTACATTTTCGTAGCGTAAAAATAGACACAGAAGCCATGTCTTATTTAGCTGCATAAAACAATGTTATTTTTATGCAGCTGAGCAGCTGTAAGGTCCTGCAGGAAGAGGTGAGAGAGGCCCCGCGGAGCACAGACAGTGTCCAGTAGGAGGAGGTCAGAGAGGCCCCGCGGAGCACAGAAAGTGTCCAGCAGGAGGCGCTTCTGAATGAGTCTGTGTGATATTTACTGAGGAGGAGGAGAGAGGAGCGCTCAGTATTCATTCCCATAGTCCTGTTGAGCTGAGCCACAGAGAGGAAGACAAAGATACGTTAAAACCACAGAAACCCAAACCAATCACCATCACAGTGTTAGAGAGACCAGAGGGAGAGAGACCAGAGGGGGAGAGACCAGAGAGAGAGACCAGAGAGAGAGAGACCAGAGAGAGAGAGACCAGAGAGAGACCAGAGGGAGAGACCAGAGGGGGAGAGACCAGAGAGAGAGAGACCAGAGGGAGAGAGACCAGAGAGAGAGAGACCAGAGAGAGACCAGAGGGAGAGACCAGAGGGGGAGAGACCAGAGAGAGAGACCAGAGGGAGAGAGACCAGAGAGAGAGAGACCAGAGAGAGAGAGACCAGAGAGAGAGACCAGAGGGAGAGACCAGAGAGAGAGAGACCAGAGAGAGAGAGACCAGACAGAGAGAGACCAGAGAGAGAGAGACCAGAGAGAGAGAGACTAGAGAGAGACCAGAGGGAGAGACCAGAGAGAGAGACCAGAGAGAGACCAGAGAGAGAGACCAGAGGGGGAGAGACCAGAGAGAGACCAGAGGGAGAGAGACCAGAGAGAGACCAGAGAGAGAGACCAGAGGGGGAGAGACCAGAGAGCGAGAGACCAGAGAGAGACCAGAGGGAGAGAGACTAGAGAGAGAGACCAGAGAGAGAGACCAGAGAGAGAGACCAGAGAGAGAGAGACCAGAGAGAGAGACCAGAGTAAGTGAGACCAGAGGGAGAGACCAGAGAGAGAGAGACCAGAGAGAGAGACCAGAGAGAGAGAGACCAGAGAGAGAGAGACCAGAGAGAGAGACCAGAGTAAGTGAGACCAGAGGGAGAGACCAGAGAGAGAGAGAGAGACCAGAGAGAGAGCCCAGAGAGAGACCAGAAAGAGACACAAGAGTGAGAGTGAGATAAGAGTGTGAGAGAGAGACCAGAGGGAGAGAGAGACCAGAGAGAGAGAGACCAGAGAGAGACCAGAAAGAGACACAAGAGTGAGAGTGAGATAAGAGTGTGAGAGACAGACCAGAGAGAGAGTCAAAAATATGAATGAACACAAAATGTATTGAAGTTCACAAATCCAAAAACAGCAGAATCAGATTTGTGGAAGCATCAAAACAGCTGTAATAGTTAGAATGATGTGTGTGTCTGTGTGCGTGTGTGTGTGCGTGTATATGTGTGTCTGTGCATGTCTGTGTGTGTGTGTGTGTGTGTGTGTGTGTCTGACTGTGTATGTGCATGTCTGTGTGTGTGGGTGTGTGTCTGCGTCTGTGTGCGTGTATATGTGTGTCTGACTGTGTATGTCTGTGTGTGTGTCTGTGTGTGTATGTCTGTGTGTGTGTGTGTGTGTGCGTCTGTGTGTGTGTCTGTGGATTCTATCTCTGCAGAGGAATCCAGAGCACAATAGAATCCAAAGTTTCTCCCACACGGAGCCTTCAAAGAGAAATGTGAACAGAAAACCCACATTCGGCGTTTGAAAAGTCCCCGACAGAATCAGTCCCACAGCGGCTCTATGTTCTGCTCAGAGTAAAATATGATTAAGATTAAGATTAAGATTAAGCGATCCTTGATACAATACAATAGTTCAGCTGCTTTCTACATCCATGTGAGTCGTTCTAAATCTTTCTGTGGTAATAACTTCTTTAATCTGAGGCTGAAAATCACAAAGAGGACAAACTCTGGGATCTACGGTCTTCCAGGTCCTCAGCGATACCACGGCAACAACAACATCCAGGTCGAGTTTATTCGTCTTGAACACAACTTTTGGATGAGACGCTTGTTGCCAGAATATTCCTCCTGTGACACATGTAGCTCCATATCTCTGACTACCGATGCATTCCACCTGCTGGGGTTTAGAAACAGTACAATCTCTGTGTGTTACTTATGTCTATCAGAGACGGTCTATATCAGGGGTGTCCAAACTTTTTTTAGTAAGAGGGCCACTTTAGTTCGTCAGACTTGATCTGGGGCCGACAACCTGGATTTAAAAAAACTGGATTGGAGCTGGATTGACTGGAATTTTTATTTTAAAACGGGTTATGATACGTCCTTATTGAGCTACACCACTGCTCCATTGTTTTTGGAATGTTGTGACACAATTATAAAACAAATTGGACGAGTGGATACACGCTCTGCCACATTTAAACAAAATTTAACACTATTGATGGATTAAAATAAGTCATTTATTCAGGAATGATTGTTATTAAACTCAAAATATCTGAACAAAATCTCTCTCTTGTGCTCTCTCTATGATTTCAGATTTTTTTTTTCGCACACTCCTATGACTACTTACATTTTGGACCTGGCTTAATAGAATAAAATGTGTGGGACTAGTTTTTGTGTTTATTGTCAAAAAACAACAACAAACAACTAAGTTCTGAAAATTCAAATGGGAGCCCATTCTGCTCTCTGATTTGACGATCTGAAATCATAAATATCATGAACATCCCTGTCTCCTGGAGATTATATTTGCGGTGAAATCGACCTAATCTGATAACTCTGGATATGACTAAACACTGGGGACATAATCCGTCTGGTTCTCTGTACTCACCTCCCACGTTGTACCCCATGCAGGAGTTGGGGTCGCAGTACCCTGGGGTCCCGCTCTGGCCTGGGGTCCCTGGGTTCCCGGGTCGGCCTGGGGTCCCTGGGGTCCCTGGTCGGCCGGTGGGTCCCTGGCTGCCCGTGCGGCCCTCACCTGGAGGTCCTGCCAAAGACAAGTTCAGGAACATTTACCATCAAGACAGAACTATGAAAGGTCTTCAGGATCAATGGGCAATAACAAACATAGACAAGTAGACGGCAGCAGTAGTCTCGCTCTGGTCTCTCACTGGTCTCTCACTGTAAGTAAGTAAGTAAGTAAACTTTATTTATATAGCGCCCCTCACAGACCAGGGTCACAAAGCGCTTCACATAGTATTAAAACAGACATATAAATTATACATACAAATGTTTAAAGGCCAAGACAACCATGTAAAAGAATACAGCAAGACAAACTTACGCAAAAGCCTGAACAAATAAATGGGTTTTAAGTTGAGTTTTGAAGCACTCAACAGACTCAATAGAACACAGAGAGAGCGGGGGAACGTTCCAAAGCTTGGGAGCAACAGCCTGGAAGGACCTGTCTCCTCTGGTCTTGAAGCGAGTGCGTGGAACCATCAGGAGGTTCTGATCCATAGACCTCAGAGCCCTGGCTGGGGTGTAAGGCTGGATCAGGTCACTGATGTAAGACGGGGCCTGACCGTGCAAAGCTCTGAAGGTTAAAACCAGAATTTTAAAATGTATCCTGTAGGACACTGGCAGCCAATGAAGAGCTTTCAGGACAGGGGTGATGTGCGACCTCCTGCTGGTGCGGGTCAGGATTCTCGCTGCAGAGTTCTGCACTAACTGCAGGCGAGACAGTTCTTTCTTGTTTAAACATGAAAACAGAGCATTAAAATAGTCTAAACGCGAAGACACAAATGCATGAATGATTACCTCCAAATCATTCTGTGAAACCATTTTCCTGACTTTGGAGATTCTCCTCAGCTGAAAAAAGCACTAACGACATGTCCTTATCAAAAATAACACCTAAGTTTCTGAGGCTCAGTTTAACTGACTGGCCTAAGTCACCTAGGCCCTGGTTTATCCCTGGGATGTGGTCATCAGGGGCAATCACCAGAGTTTCTGTTTTGTCAGCGTTGAGCTGCAAAGTGTTGTCACTCAACCATTGTTTTATCTCGACCAAGCAATGGACCAAGGAGTTTAGCCTCTGGAGCTTGGTAGGCTTGAAAGAGCAGTATAGCTGGATGTCATCAGCAAAAATGTGGAATGAGATGCCAGGAAATCTCCGGACAATCTTTCCCAAGGGGGTCAAATACAACAGGAAAAGTAGCGGCCCCAAAACGGCACCTTGGGGGACACCACACAACAAATCTGCTGACTCAGAACATATCTGGTTTGCTGCGACACTAAAACTGCGTCCAGATAAGTACGAAGCAAACCATTTAAGCACTGACCCCGACAGTCCCACTCCATCCCTCAGTCTTCGCAGGAGGATCTGGTGGTCAACGGTGTCGAACGCCGCGGACAGATCCAGAAGAACCAGAACAGTGCACTCTCCAGAATCTGCCGCCATCATAATATCACTGTAGTCTCACTCTGGTCTCTCTCTAGTCTCTCTTTGGTCTCTCTCTGATCTCTCTTTGGTCTCTCTCTAGTCTCTCTCTGTACTCTCTCTGTACTCTCTCAGGTCTCTCTCTAGTCTCTCTCTGGTCTCTCTCTGGTCTCTTTCTAGTCTCTCTCTAGTCTCTCTCTGCTCTCTCTCTGTACTCTCTCAGGTCTCTCTCTAGTCTCTCTCTAGTCTCTCTCTGGTCTCTCTCTAGTCTCTCTCTAGTCTCTCTCTAGTCTCTCTGTACTCTCTCTGTACTCTCTCTGTACTCTCTCAGGTCTCTCTCAGGTCTCTCTCTAGTCTCTCTCTGGTCTCTCTCAGGTCTCTCTCTGGTCTCTCTCTGTAGTCTCTCTCTCTCTAGTCTCTCTCTAGTCTCTCTCTAGTCTCTCTGTACTCTCTCTGTACTCTCTCTGTACTCTCTCAGGTCTCTCTCAGGTCTCTCTCTAGTCTCTCTCTGGTCTCTCTCAGGTCTCTCTCTGGTCTCTCTCTGTAGTCTCTCTCTCTCTGGTCTCTCTCTAGTCTCTCTGGTCCCTCTGGTCTCTCTCTGGTGTTTATTTGTAGTCTCTCTCTTTTTTCTCTCGATCTGTTCTCTCCATGGTCCCTCACTGGTCTCTCTCTCTAATCTCTCTCTTTAATCTTGGGTGCAATGTTTTGTGGCTTTAGAAGACTTATTTTGAAACTTCAATTTTGACTCATCCCTGTCTTTCCCGTGATGAAAATCCGACACGGGTCCAAACAACATGCCGGGCTGTAATATTTGTACAGGAACAGACACAGTGGCAGCTCTATTTCCCAGACTTAGACTCAGAGCGAACTGTCTGAGCCCCAAAAACCACGTCGATATTTGGAGCTATTTGTGTCCCTGGTCCTGAAGGAACCGCAGGTGCAGCGCGAGCCTCAGAAAACACCTTCACAAATATTGAATCTTTTATCTGTTATTTGACGAGCAGCGAGTTTCCGGGGAGAGGATTGAATTCACAAGCGTAAACAGAAAAGTCTACATTCACATAACTGGAGGAACAGGGAAATCAATACACACACAAACACAACAGCAGCTTTGGCTTGGAGGGGAGAGACACCAGCTGCCTCTCACTGTCATGGTGTAGATTTTAATTTTGTATTCTTGTTTTGTAATTGGTTTTCTGTGGTTTGGTTTTAGTTTTGCTTCCTGTCTTGTTCCCCAGTCTTGATTGTCTGCCCCGCCCTGATGTGTTTCACCTGTGTCTCTGTGTCTATATGTACCTTGTGCTTCTCTCCTCTTGTTGCTAGTCCATTGTATTATCAACGTCTGTCTTGTTTGTTCATGTCGTCAGTCTGTTCCTGGTTATTTTGGTTTTAGAAGTTCTGTTTTTTACCTTGGACTCTATTTTATGAAATCCTTATTTTGGAATTCTCGCATTTTGAGTCCTCCCCGTCATCTCACCACATGACACTCACTGCAGCACCACAAATACTATCTCAGGATACATGCGTTTGGCCTCGGTCTGAAAATATGTAGAAAGTTGTGTTTTAACCATGGAGTTATTATAACAACGGTTTTAACTTAATAAAACATATGCGTTGTCCGAAATCCAGTGGCTGCAGATCAGGAGCTATTTACGTACATCTTGAGAGCCTGGTCGCTCTCTGATTTCTTCCTGGTTTCGCTCTCTGGTTTCGCTCTCTGGTTTCGCTCTCTGGTTTCGCTCTCTGGTTTCGCTCTCTGGTTTCGCTCTCTGGTTTCGCTCTCTGGTTTCGCTCTCTGGTTTCGCTCTCTGGTTTCGCTCTCTGGTTTCGCTCTCTGGTTTTGATCTCTGGTTTTGATCTCTAGTTTTGCTCTCTGGTTTTGTTCTCTGGTTTCACTCTCTGGTCTCTCTCGCTGATCTTTCTGGTTGCTCTGGTCTCTCTCTGTTCTATCTCTGGTCTCTCTGGTCTCTCTCTCTGGTCTCTCTCGAGTCTGTCTCTGCTTTCACTGGCCTATCTCTGGTCGCTCTCTCTGGTCGCTCTCTCTGGTCGCTCTCTCTGGTCGCTCTCTCTGGTCGCTCTCTCTGGTCTCCCTCTCTGGTCTCCCTCTCTGGTCTCTCTCTCTGGTCTCCCTCTCTGGTCTCCCTCTCTGGTCTCCCTCTGGTCTCTCTCTGGTCTCTCTCTGGTCTCTCTCTTGTCTCTCTCTTGTCTCTCTCTGGTCTCTCTCTGGTCTCTTTCTTTCATTTGCTATGGCTTTAGAAGACTTATTTTATTTCACCTCAGCAAAAATACTCTTCATTCAAGTGTTTCTTTCAAGAGTCAACATTTTAGTCCACAGCTTACTGAACTGTACTGACTCTGCTGATGGTTTAAATACTACATTCAATACATTCTCCTTTCCTCCAAATACTTTTATATAATGCAAAACAAGTATTGATCCACCTGCCAGAGCACAGACAGTTTTAAGGGACGGATTATCAGGAAATGTGAAAAACGAAGGATCTCAACTGTAGGTTCTCAAAAGATTTAGAAAACGACCAAAGTCTGACCAAACTGTTGAGGAAATGTTCTACTTCAATCAATGGGTCCAAAAGGAGAAGCTCGTGTTTTATGTGATTGAATAAAAAAATATGAAGAACAAACATTATATTATACTTTGCGGAGTGTCAAGGATTTCTGGTCATGAGAAAGTGCACTCAACACAGATGATGTAGGTATAACACTGTTGTTTACCTGCAGGTCCTGGAGGTCCTCTGGGGCCCTGGGATCCCACTCCTGTACTGCCTCGCTCTCCCTTCTCTCCAGCTGGACCTGCACACATCATACACAACTGTAACACAACCACAAAACACGCTCCGTCGACTAAACGCATTGTGAAACTCGTGACCATCGAGTACAAATGAGTAATAAAGCAAACAGTGACCTCATGCAGTGATCCTGAGCCTGGCAGACTCGGACCACTCCAGGGACCAATGAAGAAAACAGCCGTTTATAAAGTCCAATAAAATTTGAATAAAAGTTACTCACGTTGTTCAACTATTTTGCTTTCCAAATGTGTTATACTGTAAATGGAAGACTAGGCATCTACGGCCTCAGTCCTGGGTCTACAGCCTCAAACCTGGGTCTACAGCCTCAGTCCTAGGTCTACGGCCTCAGTCCTGGGTCTACGGCCTCAGTCCAGGATCTACAGCTTCAGTCCTGGGTCTACGGCCTCAGTCCTGGGTCTACGGCCTCAGTCCTGGGTCTACGGCCTCAGTCCTGGGTCTACAGCCTCAGTCCTCAATCTGCTGCCTCAGTCCTGGATCTAAAAATCTCAGTCCTAGATCTACAGCCTCAGTCCTGGATCTAAAATCTCAGTCCTGGATCTACAGCCTCAGTCCTGGATCTACAGCCTCAGTCCTGGATCTACGGCCTCAGTCCTGGATCTACGGCCTCAGTCCTGGATCTACGGCCTCAGTCCTGGATCTACGGCCTCAGTCCTGGATCTACGGCCTCACTCCTGGATCTACGGCCTCAATCCTGGATCTACGGCCTCAGTCTTGGATCTACAGCCTCAGTCCTGGATCTACAGCACCCCATCTCTTTAATCAAGAAATGTAATCATAATTGAAGTAGTTTGAACTCTTTTTTTTTTGCCGTGTGAGGCCGTCTGTATTCTTGAAAAGTGCATTTTATCCCTGAATGGCCCGGTTTAAACCCGTCTCTGTGTAAATGAGCTCCACAGACCGTACACAGCGGTTTCTTGCGGCTCGTAAAGCACTGGCTAACTGTGTGTGTTTGGTTTGTGGTGAACAGAAGCGGATCCTCAGTCTGCTGCAGCTGTACTGTGCGAGGTTTTCATGTTTCGGGCCTCATAAAGTTGAAGCCGCGGGACCTAAGGACACCACGGTCCTCTGGCCTGGACCGGACCATCTGGAGGATCGCATATGTTTGTCTAAAGAGGCGTAGATGCGAGCGGAGACGCAAACACGATGCTTTCTCCAGCTGCACAGATCAAAGGAACAGGAGCCAATATTTTGACAAGAAGACTTTGATTTTAGCTTCCCATTCAGTCTACAAATAAACGATTTTGGTTATAATCCATGAGACTAGATTTACAGTTGTGATACACTGCAAAAATGTATAAAACATGAGGTAATAAATGCTTGAATAATTCTTGTTGTATCTTAATTTGAGTTCATTCGGACTATTCTATTTCAACTGATGTTTTTTTTCCCATTCCAAGGGAGATATTTCTTTTTAAAACATGATCATTTTTCTCATTGTCCCATTGGCAAATCTTGTTTTAAAGCTGTCAGAATGTTCTTAAATTAAGGTACATTTAGCCAAATTTGAGCAACTTTTGACTTATTTTTTCTTCACTTGTTGCAGTGCAGTCGGACTGTCTTCAAAGTGCACATTACAAACATGAACAGAAGCAGCGATGATTGTGTGACTTCACAAAATGGCGAGAATTGTGAAGAAAAAAAGAGTGAATTAGGCTGTGTTTCTCAACCAATCAATGATTCTTCTGGGAAAGCAATGTTCCAGCTTCTTCCCCATTGGTCCAAACTAACAAATATACACATTTATACACATCTTTAGAGTCCTGTGCTCCATGTTTGCACTGTTTTAAAAGGTAGAACTACACTAAGTTACTTCATATTGTCTTGACTAAGCTACTTTAAATTGTCTTGGATCTTAATTTCAGTTGTTGTGATGACATAATTGCAAACAAAATGTCCAATTTATTTAGAAAAGTTTGATGATACAACAGATTTGTAAATGTAGTTCTATTTATTATATGACTTGGATCGTAGGCGCGCTCTGATTGGTTGATTTGCGGTCTGACATTTTCCCATCTCGGACCGTTACCATGACAATTGGTCCGCAGCGCGTATCAAATTTAATATCTTTCCTCGGTAAAGAAAGAATGAGCGACGAGTGCGAAGAGCCAGAGGAAGTAATAACAGCAAATAACGACGAAAACACAACTCCTAACAGTCAAGAAGTCGGAGATTGATATTTGCATAAATAAAAAAAAATCATATAATAAAACATGTGTTAACCTCGCTTGCTCGGTCTGTACAGAGAAATATCAGACCTTGGTCTTTTTACACAAAAAAGGCAGTGTTTGGTCTGATATTTCTCTGTACAGACCTCGCGCTTGTTTAATAAGCCGTTAGTATCTACAACGGCTTTAGTTCAATGACACTTAACTATAAGAGAAAACTGAGATATTTTTTTGTCCGCCCCCAGGTTAATTTGAACTAGATTTTGAATTAAATCTGTATATAATTGTAATAAAACTGACATTGAACATTTGATAACCTAGTGTGTTATTCTGTGTGTGTTTCTGTATTGTATTGTGTTGATATTCCGTCTCCATTCACTTCCAGTCTTTGAAACATGTTTGGAAAAGTACCAAAGAAAGTCATCTTCTTCTATAGAGCGCACTTCACAGACCAAGGTCATCCAACACATTTACTTTTTCTATTCACTCCACACACAGTGACGAAAAGTGACACATCAAAGCCTCCGATCGTCCTCAACCGTTCACTCACAACATTCAGATCTTTTTCTACATGTTTTTAGAGGGAGGGGTGACTAGAGCCTGAATCTACAGCCTCAGTCCTGGATTGACAGCTTCAGTCCTGGGTCTACAGCCTCAGTCCTGGATCTACAGCCTCAGTCCTGGATCTACAGCCTCAGTCCTGGATCTACAATAATGAAACCCTGTGTAGCACTCATCTCTCTCACTCTTCCACCGGAGTTCTTGTTATCATTGTCTCTTTGTCTTTTTAGTTTTTAAATTGAAAATGGCAAAACCTAATCTGTATTGTTTTTGTAGCTGCCGGGGTTGTAAGGGCTCGCAGACACTGACAAACGAACCGCTAAACTAATCCAAAATTGACATGCAAAGATGTTTTTCTCAAAGCGATTAAATAAAGCTTTCCCCATTTGTTAATTGCGATCATGGAGTTTCTGATTTCCAAACCATTGTGTTTAATTCTGCAGATCTAATCCCTGACCTCAGCTCTGCACACTGACTAACAAGGAGCTAATGTTTTATCTCGTTAGTCTGGTTTTTCCTTCCGTCGCAGAGGAAGTGCATGATGTAACTTACCGTGACGAGTAATGATTACACACATAGTTTATCCAGAGGTGAACACTGCAGCATTTTTAGCATGAATGTGAATATGGGTCCGAACCCCCGCTGCTTTTGTTCATGTTAAGATGAGGATTATGACATTTTCGGGTCGTTTTTGCCAAGATTCCTGCCAAAATGTGTGTCCTCCGACTTGTACAGTGTGTGGGGAGTAGCAGCAGCAATCGACACGTCAACATAAGCTCATCATTTTGTTTGCTTTTGAATGCGCTTGAAACGGCAGAAAGAAGTAAGTAGCTCTGAAACAGTTTTTTTGTGCTTTATAATTTTTCTTACAGTACAGTGTTCATGATTTTGCAAAGGTCCAGACCAGAGTGGAGAGGACTCATGGTCCGAACCAAGTGGATCAGGCAAAAATCCACTGGAGGAATACTAACTTTTGAAAAAGGCTAACAAAGCATTCAACATTTTACTTTGGACCAGAGCAGAGAAAATGGTCTGAACCAAGCGCCTACTCCTCTGCTGCTGTGACCTGAAGTATTGTTGCATTTTATTATTACTATTGTTAGCTTTTTAGAATGATAATTTATTTGTTTTGTTTGTGTGGATGGATGTGTTTCTGCTGCTACTGGACACCTGAATTTCTTCTACAGGGATCAATGAAGTATTTATCTATCTATCACTGCTGATCGTGTAACCGCAGGAAGATACATGTTTGTTGTTATCACTGTTGGGCAAGTGACTTCAACAACATAATACATGATAAAATACTGTATATTTGAAAGCAAGAAACATACAGTTGTATATATACATCTGTACATGTTAGCAGCAAGAGGCACTGGGGCAGTGGACACATGGTGGTTATATTCAGCACATTCTGACATTACTCAGATTATTATTGCGTAGATAAGTGAAGTGTATGCTAATCTAAATCCATGAACATGAGCCTCACCTCTCTCCCCCGGGCGCCCGTTCTGTCCACTGCTGCCAGGGAAGCCAGGTCTGCCGCTGGGACCCTGCTCTCCCTGAGGTCCTGGTGCTCCTCGATGGCCTGGTTCTCCAGGAGGTCCAGGGACGCTCCGCACGGACACCGACGCCTGCGGGATCTGGTTCAGGATGGTGTTGTACCTCGACAAGTGACCTGTGGAGGAGGACAAGGGAGAAATCAAACAAAGTAAAACAAATCCTGGATTTCTTCAGATGTTCAACAATGTTTCCCACTGGGTTTTAACAACATTTATGGACATTGGTCTCCCCAGATGGATAGAATCACACAAGTGTGTGCAAACATGTTACATTTAGGATATATCATGTACAATAAAAGTGTCAATTAAGAAACAGTGGCAATAGTAGTGCAGGGATTTAAAAAAAAAAAAAAAAATTCACAGTACTAACCAGGCCCTGCCCTTCTTTGCTTCTGGCACTAACCAGACCCAGGGTGAGGCCAAGTAACAAGATGTGTGTGATTACATTTTCTAAACGTGTATTAATATTACAGTATTTATGAAAGACATTTTATTTACAATTTCTGTTCCAGAGTGAGAGTACGAAGGCAAAGTTACGAGACGCCTTTGAAAGCAGCAGAAGGCTCCATCTGCTCAGCAGCGCATGGAGACAGGGACCAGAGAGTGTAGACTGGGACCAGAGTGTAGACTGGGACCAGAGTGTAGACTGGGACCAGAGTGTAGACTGGGACCAGAGTGTAGACTGGGACCAGAGTGTAGACTGGGACCAGAGTGTAGACAGGGACCAGAGTGTAGACTGGGACCAGAGTGCAGACTGCGACCAGAGTGCAGACTGGGACCAGAGTGTAGACTGGGACCAGAGTGTAGACAGGGACCAGAGTGTAGACAGGGACCAGAGTGTAGACTTGGACCAGAGTGCAGACTGGGACCAGAGTGTAGACTGGGACCAGAGTGTAGACTGGGACCAGAGAGTGTAGACTGGGACCAGAGAGTGTAGACTGGGACCAGAGTGTAGACTGGGACCAGAGTGTAGACAGGGACCAGAGTGTAGACTGGGACCAGAGTGTAGACTGGGACCAGAGTGTAGACTGGGACCAGAGTGTAGACTGGGACCAGAGAGTGTAGACTGGGACCAGAGAGTGTAGACTGGGACCAGAGTGTAGACAGGGACCAGAGTGTAGACTGGGACCAGAGTGTAGACTGGGACCAGAGTGCAGACTGCGACCAGAGAGTGTAGACTGGGACCAGAGTGTAGACTGGGACCAGAGTGTAGACTAGGACCAGAGTGTAGACAGGGACCAGAGAGTGTAGACTGGGACCAGAGTGTAGACTGGGACCAGAGTGTAGACTAGGACCAGAGTGTAGACAGGGACCAGAGTGCAGACTGCGACCAGAGAGTGTAGACTGGGACCAGAGTGTAGACTGGGACCAGAGTGTAGACTAGGACCAGAGTGTAGACAGGGACCAGAGTGTAGACTGGGACCAGAGTGTAGACTGGGACCAGAGTGCAGACAGGGACCAGAGTGTAGACAGGGACCAGAGTGTAGACTTGGACCAGAGTGTAGACAGGGACCAGAGTGTAGACTGGGACCAGAGTGTAGACAGGGACCAGAGTGTAGACTGGGACCAGAGTGTAGACTGGGACCAGAGTGTAGACTGGGGACCAGAGTGTAGACTGGGACCAGAGAGTGTAGACTGGGACCAGAGAGTGTAGACTGGGACCAGAGTGTAGACTGGGACCAGAGTGTAGACTAGGACCAGAGTGTAGACAGGGACCAGAGTGCAGACTGCGACCAGAGAGTGTAGACTGGGACCAGAGTGTAGACTGGGACCAGAGTGTAGACTAGGACCAGAGTGTAGACAGGGACCAGAGTGTAGACTGGGACCAGAGTGTAGACTGGGACCAGAGTGCAGACAGGGACCAGAGTGTAGACTGGGACCAGAGTGTAGACTTGGACCAGAGTGTAGACAGGGACCAGAGTGTAGACTGGGACCAGAGTGTAGACAGGGACCAGAGTGTAGACTGGGACCAGAGTGTAGACTGGGACCAGAGTGTAGACTGGGACCAGAGTGTAGACTGGGACCAGAGAGTGTAGACTGGGACCAGAGAGTGTAGACTGGGACCAGAGTGTAGACTGGGACCAGAGTGTAGACTAGGACCAGAGTGTAGACAGGGACCAGAGTGCAGACTGCGACCAGAGAGTGTAGACTGGGACCAGAGTGTAGACTGGGACCAGAGTGTAGACTAGGACCAGAGTGTAGACAGGGACCAGAGTGTAGACTGGGACCAGAGTGTAGACTGGGACCAGAGTGCAGACAGGGACCAGAGTGTAGACTGGGACCAGAGTGTAGACAGGGACCAGAGTGTAGACAGGGACCAGAGTGTAGACTTGGACCAGAGTGCAGACTGGGACCAGAGTGTAGACTGGGACCAGAGTGTAGACTGGGACCAGAGAGTGTAGACTGGGACCAGAGTGTAGACTGGGACCAGAGTGTAGACAGGGACCAGAGTGTAGACTGGGACCAGAGTGTAGACTGGGACCAGAGTGTAGACAGGGACCAGAGTGTAGACTGGGACCAGAGTGTAGACTGGGACCAGAGTGTAGACAGGGACCAGAGTGTAGACTGGGACCAGAGTGTAGACAGGGACCAGAGTGTAGACTTGGACCAGAGTGTAGACAGGGACCAGAGTGTAGACTGGGACCAGAGTGTAGACAGGGACCAGAGTGTAGACTGGGACCAGAGTCCAGACTGGGACCAGAGTCCAGACTGGGACCAGAGTGTAGACTGGGACCAGAGTGTAGACTGGGACCAGAGTGTAGACAGGGACCAGAGTGTAGACTGGGACCAGAGTGTAGACTGGGACCAGAGTGTAGACTGGGACCAGAGTGTAGACAGGGACCAGAGTGTAGACTGGGACCAGAGTGTAGACTGGGACCAGAGTGCAGACTGCGACCAGAGAGTGTAGACTGGGACCAGAGTGTAGACTGGGACCAGAGTGTAGACTAGGACCAGAGTGTAGACAGGGACCAGAGTGTAGACTGGGACCAGAGTGTAGACTGGGACCAGAGTGCAGACAGGGACCAGAGTCCAGACTGGGACCAGAGTCCAGACTGGGACCAGAGTGTAGACTGGGACCAGAGTGTAGACTGGGACCAGAGTGTAGACAGGGACCAGAGTGTAGACTGGGACCAGAGTGGAGACTGGGACCAGAGTGTAGACTGGGACCAGAGTGTAGACTGGGACCAGAGTGTAGACTGGGACCAGAGTGTAGACTGGGACCAGAGTGTAGACTGGGACCAGAGAATTCAGACCGGTTTGGGAGCAACACTGAATTGATTAATTTCCGGTTATTTTAGCGACGATTAGCGCAATGTTGATAATGAAGGTCGACCAAAATTGAGGTTGCAATACACCAGTTTTACAGATGAAACTGTCATGGGGTGGACTTGCTTTGTTTTCATCTGGTTTTAGTTTGAGTTTTACTTCCTGTCTGTTGTGTTGATCATTTACCCTGTTGTGTTACTGTGTGTATTCAGACCCTGTGCTCCTGTCCTCTTGTTGTCGCTCCATTGTTATTTTGTCCCCATGCCTTGTTCCTGGTTTCAGTTTTTACTTATGGATTTATTTTTGTGCAAAAAGACCCAGGTCTGATACTTCTCTGTACAGACCGAGCCGGGTTAATACATGTTTTATTATATGACTGTTTTTAATTGATGCAAATATCGATTGGTTTCAACTAAAAACTCATGCAACCAAACTATCTAATCGTGACATGGAGAACTTGCTTATCAGATGATTGAAGACGCCCGCTGCTAAGTTCTCAATCTCTTCTGTGTCTTTACCAATGCTTTTTGGATGTTTGTGAAGTATGTTCATGTCCGACTTGGTTTTCCTAATCGTGTTTTTACCTTTGTGGTCTGTAACGAAGCTGTCAATCTCTTCTTGACAGTTAAGAGTTGTGTTTTCGTCGTTTTTTTCTGTTATTACTTTCTCTGGCTCTTGGAACTCGTCCAGATAATAGAATTTGATACGCGCTGCGGACCAATTGTCATGGTAACAAAAAAATATAAAAAAATATGAGACCACAAATCAGCCAATCAGAGTGCGCGTACAATCCAAGTCATATAATAACAACTTTTATTTAAAAAAACACTTAAAATATTGGCCCGATGCATGGGTCGACGAGGACTTACTCTGGATAAGCTGCTCGCACACCTGTCGGGCGATGGTGCGGATGGCGGCTGGAGACGAGACGTCGCCCTGAAAACCCCCCAAAAAAAACCTTTAAAATTGTGTTGAATGAATTAACCAGCAGTGCAGTGCTATAAAGAGGGTTATATGAAGTTCAGACAATCCACCAGCCTTTGATCTTATTTCAACAGTGTTCTCACGTTCCATTGCATTGATATTTTTGGCTTTTTCATGTCTGTCCATATTTTTCTACATTCACATAATATCAGTGGCGTCCCGCACAATGGGCCTGAAGCGTGACTCCGAGAACGAGGCCTGTGCTCTTCTATAAACCGGAGCCGTAAAGCCTTTTTCCCGCCGCCCAAACATAACCATTCCAGTGCATAACAGAGCCGTTAAAGTTGATTTGTTAAAAGCAAAGCTGCAAATGACTTACTCTTTCTCCCTTATCACCTTTGGAACCGACGGGGCCCTAGGATAGAGAGCATAAAGAGGAAAAAAGTAAGTGCTTTGTGGACTTAAGAGTAGCCCCCAGTCTCTGTGTCACAACATTTATTCAACTTTTACCAACAAAAACATCATCAACAATGTGATTTAAAACACAAGTTCCCAGTAAAACAACTCTTCAAGTCCATTGGAGTTGTTCTTTGCGGATGCAGGTTGGTCTCAGGACAGTGGTGATCCGGGACACTCGACATTTATCAACATTTTTTAACATTTATCAACATCTTTTAACATTTATCAACATTTATGCACATAACCAGTGCATTTTGTTATTGAACGGTTTGATTTTCTGATCTGTGTCGGCGAATCGACAGCTTTGTAAAGTCCTTTGAGATGACTACTGTAGTGCTTTAGGGCTATAAAAGCATAAGAAGAATTGAAATTGATTTGAACCAAAAACCAGGTCACCAAAATGGAAAAAAAATGATAAAATGTCCACTATTTCACGAATGGAAATGCATCGTGGATTGAACCAAGTTGTGAGATTCGTGACACGGCTCACACATTTTCTTGCAAATTTCTACTTTTAAATATGTTCCCAATCTGTGTCCTCTGTAAAAAAAAGTATTGCCTCTGCCTGCATGTTGAAGCCAGATTGCGTCCAACCCCTGAGGCTAAGCAGGGCAGGGCCTGGTTAGTACTGTGATGGGAAAAAGTGGGGCGGCTGCGGCTGTAAAGTGGCAAATTGTGGTCGTGTCCTTCGGCAAGACACTTCACCCACATTAGAATGAGTCTGGTGCGTGTGTGAATGGTTGTTGGTGGTGGGAGAGTCCGACGGCACACACTGTGGTTGCCTCGCTTCTCTCTGTGTGCCCCAGGGCAGCTGTGGCTACAATAACAGTTTATCACCACCGTGTATGGAGTGAAAGAATAATTAAACGTGAAGCATCTTTAAGTGTATAATTATAAATACAATCCACCACAGTAACAGTGATGGAATAATGACACTATGGGCCTGATCTGTACTTGATCTATAACTGAGATGTGCTCCTCGACAAACACGCAGATCCACAAAACTACACAAGTGCACCGTGCTGCTGCGTTGGAGAGCTCGGCTGTTTACCTCTGGCCCTTGTCCTTGACCGTGAGCCTGCGCTGAAGTGGAACTGTTGTTTTATGGTGAATATTGCATCAGGGACGGAACTGTGTGTGCGCCAGTGTTTGCTCAGAGCGCCCTCCGCAGTAAAAGTCCGCAGCTCGGCCTCCCGCGTGTTTCTCTTTGGGTTTCATGAATCTTTCTGGACGCGTAAATGTCCAGTTTCTTATCAAAACGACAAGGGAAAGTCCTGTAAAAGTGCAGCGAAGGACGGACGACGACATGAACTGTAGTTTCAGAAACTCTTCAGATACTATTTCTGACAATTATTCTTTGGGGAAAAGAGAAACCAATCGGTCACATTTATGTTGTAGAATTGGATTTCAGGAGAGAGAGAGAGAGAGCGAGAGCGAGAGCAAGAGAGAGAGCGAGAGCGAGAGAGAGAGAGCGAGAGAGAGAGAGTGAGAGCGCGAGAGAGAGAGAGCGAGAGAGAGAGAGAGAGAGCGAGAGAGCGAGAGAGAGAGAGCGAGAGAGCGAGAGAGAGAGAGAGAGAGCGAGAGAGAGAGAGAGAGAGAGAGAGCGAGAGAGAGAGAGAGAGAGAGAGAGAGAGCGAGAGAGAGAGAGCGAGAGAGCGAGAGAGAGAGAGCGAGAGCGCGAGAGAGCGAGAGCGCGAGAGAGCGAGAGCGCGAGAGAGCGAGCGAGAGCGCGAGAGAGCGAGCGAGAGCGCGAGAGAGCGAGAGCGCGAGAGAGCGAGAGAGAGAGAGAGAGATTCTTTTGTCTGAAAGTCCTCCCTACTGGCCAACTTAATGCATATGTTTTTGAATGTTGTCTACGTTTTCTAGATACCATTTGAGAAAATAATAAGATCAAAGTTGATAATTGCTGAAGCAGGATCTTCTGATCTGATTTGTTTACACTTTATAACACTTTTACTTTTCAAGTTAGGTCCCCCAGCTTAAGGGACTTGTTCAGTCGGTACAGCACATTAGTCCAGTCCTCAGGTCTCTGCACTGGCTCCTGTGGCTCAGAGAATAGACTTTAAAACAGCTCTGTTCAAGTCTCTCCATGGCCTCGCACCATAGTACAAGTGGGGAGGCAGCATTTCAGATGAATAGCCAAAAATCTGGAACAGTCTTCCAAATAATGTGAGACAGGCTTCTTCTCTGACAATGTTCAAATCCACATTAAAATCAGCTCTTTTTAGCTGTGGAAATAACTGAGGGATTTTACCTTTAGTCTTTTTAATGTACTGTGATTATTTACAGTACAGTGGCTCAGTTGGTAGACCATTGGCCTTAGGTCGTGGGTTCGAGCCCACCACAAGACCTACTTCACGACTCCCACTGATGTCTGCTGTTGTTGTGTCCTTGGGCAAGACACTTAACCCCACTTTGCCCAAAGCCCCCGCTGAAAGATCTCAGCTCCTGTGGACTCACCACCTGCAGAGGGCTGGTGCTCTGTGAACTGGGTGCAGCTCTGACTGCCACCCCCCGACCCAGAAATGGATAAAGGAGAAGAAAATGGATGGATGATTATTTATATGATTATATACTCGTGTATGAACTGTGCTATACAAATAAACCTGCCTTGCCTTAGCTTTACTTGTCAAATCTCCTCCAATCACGACCACACAGCATTGTCTTAGTCTCAGCCTGACGGATCTGTCGGAAGCGTCTCTCTGGTGAATAATTATTTCAGAATCTGTCACTTCCAGAATTGTTGCGTTTTGGGAACATCTGCGTCCGTCCTGGAGCCTCCGTGATTTATGGATCCACGTCTTTGTGCCAAACAAGACGAGCAAAGGAAGGATTACCCGTCCCCACGGAGACGGCAGCTCAGACGCCTCACACATTTCTCTTGTAACTTTGGGAGTTTGAATTAATATTTCTAGTGTTTGAGGACAGAGGTTCAAAGAGATCCTCGGAGTGATGAGCGGAGAATTTCACCAACAGTAAAAAAAAAACAAAAAAACAACTGTTCTTGTGCAATAACACTAATTCAAATACTTTATAGCAGATGCAGACTTCTGTTTCTGCAGATATGACCAAGACATGTTTATTTGTATAACGCAGGTCATACTGTACATAAGGCAAAGCAAGAATAAGACATTAACAAATAATCACAGTGCATTAAAAAGAGTAAAGATACAATCCTTCAGTTGTTGCAGCTAAACAGAACTGATTTTAACCTGGAACTGAGACAGAAGTCGGTCTCACATTTTCAGGAAGACTGTTCCAGATTTTAGCCTCATAAATCTGAAATGCTGCCTCCCCATGTTTAGTCCTGATTCTGGGCACCATCAGGAGGTTGGTCCCTGTGCTCCTCAGAGTCCCAGCAGGAGGCCAGTCCCTGTGCTCCTCAGAGTCCCAGCAGGAGGCCAGTCCCTGTGCTCCTCAGAGTCCCACACATGTCTGTTTTACTAAACAATGGAAGGTGCAATAACTATTTTTGACAATATGCTACATCAGAAAATGTTTGAAGTAAACGATAATAACGTAGTTACAACACAACAGTATAATATTTAGACTTATTGAACCCTCCTCAGTTAATTGTAGTACAAAGAAAAGCACAATTCTCTCTTCTTCTTTAAAGAATAGTTACAGACGATGCACATCGACACCAAAAGACACAGTTCTATCCAACATTATTTAACAATAAGTCGATAGCAGTTATGGTGACATTCATACTCAGTCGTTCTTCTAGGTCTAGATTTGTTCTTCCACAAGTTTTCAAAGACATTTATTTTATCAAACAGCTCTTTCATCCACACATACAACATGTTTTCTGATAGAATAAAGAGAAATGCTCTTTGTTTACACTGAAAAATGTAAATAAGTTTAAAAAAATTGCCCAAATTTGGCAAAAATGCATCTTAATTGAGCACACTGCTTCGTCACATTTGCCAATGGGACAAAGACAATTCAGACAGTGAAATCAATCTAGAATTAGACATGTTTTCTTTATGCGTCGTTTCCCATTTGATGTAACATTTTAAGAACTTACTGGAACTCCTTGATCTCCAGTGGAACCCGTAGACCCCCCTGGGCCTGGGGCTCCGGGGGCTCCTGGGGGGCCCTGAAACAGAGGCATCACAGCGTTCGTGTTCGTTGAGCTTATGACAGATGCTAGAGTAAAGTGATGCTTACAGATGCTCCAGGAGGTCCCACTCTGCCCTGAGGTCCAGAGTTACCAACCAGGCCCTAAACACACAACACACACAACACACAACAGGATCCAGGTCAGACTAAAGCAGAGTCTGAGAAAAGTTACACAATGTTTCTATAGATACGACACAAGGAAGCACTGCACTCACAGAACCAGAGATTATTTTCTTGTTTCTGTCTATCTGTTGTATGTCTTCTCCAACTTCTGCAGTTAGCAAAATACTGTGGCACGTCCTTTTCCGGCACTTTCTTTCAATAGATTAGTTTCATCTCGTCTTCTTAGTGGAATAAGATTGTTTTGGGTCATTACCAAGTCTCATGCATCGCACTCAGCTCCAGTGGAAGCAGGACGAACACGGAATGTTTAGAGCTGCAGAACATCAGCTCATGTCTTTGCAGAGTAAGACGTGTGTGTGTGTGTGTGTGTGTGTGTGTGTGTGCATGTGTGTGTATGTGTGTGTGCATGTGTGTGTTCAGATGAGTAAGAATGTTTGTATCCATGTGTCTTACTCTGGGACCGGGGGGGCCGTCTCTTCCAGGTGCTCCAGGACCTCCAGGGACTCCCTAAAAAAAAAAACGCACACAGGCATAGATACACACACACAGGCATAGGCACACACACACACACACACACACACACACACACACACACACACACACACAGCATTTTACAGCTTATAATGTTGTGAATACTGAAGCTCCGGTGAGAACTGTGCACGTCAAGAACTCTCCTATTTATAGAACAGAGCCCAGTATAAAACACTAGGACTTTGGGACTCAGTGAATTTTTCTTTTCTCCCCAATGTTTCTGCTCCTGGACATGTTTATATTTGCACTTTGAAGTCGCACAGCCGTAAAGAAAACAAAGACAATGTTGTGATGCATGTGGTACGTGCGACTCCATCTCTGGGTTCTCTGCAGAACTCAATAATAACTACTGTATCTGTCATCAGCTCGTTGCAGTCTTTAGTGAGCACTGGACAAACAGGAAAATAGTTTCACGCCAGCCCACTTTTCTTCCACCAGTCGGAGGTAGTCCTCAATCCAAATTCAGTCATAGAGTAAAAAGTAATAATGTAATTCATGGCCAGACTTACAAACTAATGATTCGCTTTAAAAACACGTCAAGGAAAGCTGTTAGTTCAACACCAAATCCACTTTTTTTTAAACTCAAACTGCATAACTATGTTTATTGTAGTGCTGTCTACATATCCTGGTCATTTTTTTGACATTTTAGTACAAATTAGATAAAATATCACTTTTGAGCCAAAAAACGCTGTGTGGTGCCCTCTCAACCTTTTTGGTGGTACTACATTTGAATTTGGTTCTGGCCTCTTCATTGACTCTGAAGTTCTTTATGACATCAGTTGTTTTGTGTGACGTCAGTCTGTCAGAGCCAGTGATGTGAACCCATTCAACTCTCACACACGCCCCAGCTGCAGTTTGGAGTGTTCTGGCGCCATCTAGTGGATTAAAATTAAATTACATGAGTCATTCTGAGATTATTGAGTGTGATTAGGTTCAGGTGTGTAGCTTTACAATTATCTAAGTGTGTAAACAAGGGTGGAATGAGACTTTTTGGTCTATAAACTATTGCTTTAAGCAGCAATGACAACTGTCTTTTTTGTGTGTGTGACAAGTGAGCTGTCAATCACAGCCCAGACCACGCCCAACTCTAAGCCCCCCTTCTTGTCCCTTGGTCCTCCAGGCAACGCCCTTTTTAGAGAAAATTTTCAAATCTTCATGAGGGCGGAGTAAGGCTGGGCACAGGTGTTTAGTCGCTCTTTAAGATGGACTTTTCTCTTTGGTCCATGAGCACGTTTCCAAAGCATAAGAATAAAGGAGCAGTTACATTGGTTTTCACAAACGAACCAGGCTCAGTGGCCCGGATTGTCGCCACAGCGGTGTGAAGACGGCCCACAGTCACAAGGAATTTTTCAACCGTGTAGTACTCGGTCCAGGTGGTGCCGCTAATACTAACTTAAGCAACTACTTTGAGGTATTAAAAATTTTAGGACATGTGTTAAATTGACCTCCTGGCCTTAAATGTTGATATAAAATAAGTCATTTTAAAATTCTAATATTACGGGTAAGTCCCGCCTTCCCTTCTCTTAGCTATAGCTCAAAATACACGATGCCGTCCACTTTAACCAATCGAGTCATGCCAAGGGCTGTCAATCATTGGCACTGATGCTCGCAGCTGCTCATGCTCAGTTGTTTGTTTTCACGGAGCCTCCGAATAAAGCTTCGATTTGGGGGGATCAGACAAATAAACAACAACTGATTTATGGTGAATCCTTTAGTATGTTGTCCTCTTCTAATATATAATGGTAGATAAACTGTATTTCTAATATAAATCAAACCCGTCATAGGTCTTTAAGTCGTGTCCAGTATTACTCCAGATTTCTGACCTTATTTAAAGGCCCCAGGGATTAGAGACTGAATGGTGACAAAATGTCTTGTCTCTTCTTTGTTTCTCGGGGACCAAAGACAAGCATTTTCGTGTTTGTTCCGCATTTAGTGGAGAAATATTGCATTGCATCCACCTCACTGATCCGCAGGATTACAGCGAAGGAGTGAGTTCCTACGGTCAATGCTCCTCCTGCTAGTCAGTGATGACATGATTGAGTGGCATCTGTTAATTGTGGTAGGACACTTCATACTTGAATTTAACTGACCTAATGGCTGCAATTGTAAATATTGAACAGGAGAGGTCCCATGAATCGACCCCTGTCGGCACGGACTCCCGAGGTCTGGGCCATATTTTATCTGAGACATAGGTCTCAATCTCCACACTTTCTTCCTTTCTTCTTAGATAGGACCTAAACCAGCTGTAGGGCGGATGGGCGGTACCAGCATTCACCAACCCAGTCCTCAGTCTCTGCTGAGAATCTCTGAGTCATCGGGTGCGAAAAGCGGGCACTCAGATCTAACACATGTCTCTAAAACAAGAGGACTTTTCCTGCATCAGTGTTAAGCCGATATCATTTGTTACCTTGACTTAGAGAGTCGGTAGTTCTCAGTACTGTAGGTGTAGGTCTAAAGCCAGTCTGGAACATGTCAAATGCGTCATTAGATATTAAAAAATTCAAGTAAGTTGTTTGGTAGGCAACTTTTCAAGAATTTTTTCCCTTGAAGGCAGATTTTGAGATGGACGGTAATTTTCAAGTACCGCAGCATCCAAAAACTGTCTTTTTTAGGAGGGGCCTGATGGACTGCCTTTTTCAGGGCCATTGGAAATGTTCCAGATAAAAAAGACATGTTTACTATTTGTGTCAATGGGGTAATAGACTACACATAACAGGACTTCAGAAATCTAGGAGGTAGTATACAGCCAGACATGCAGGTAGAGGAAACTAAGACCTGTGATTTCTTTTTAACAGTTTCAATTCATTGACAGGGGCACTAAATTGAGCTAGCTCACAAAGCCTCATGGATGTTGCATGTGTTTTTGTGTTGTAGTGGTGATGGCTTTTCTGATTACCTGACCTTTTGTCTCTGATGAAAACTGTGCAAACTCTATACCACCTGGATTTGGCAGTACGTGTTCTAATGGCAACTCATCAGGGGGGGTTCGTTAATCTTTTGATTGTTGAAAATTAGAACTACGCAGTTGTTTTGGCTGCAGCCCTTCTATAGTTTCAGAAAAAGTATAATTCTCTTGTTATTCGTAGTTCTCTGTTAAGTTAACTACACAAACTTTCTTTTTGCTACTGTGATCAACACCTGAGGGAGGATTCAGTGAGGGGTGGTGCTAGTGGTCTGGGTGCAGCTGACTGCCACCCCCCCCGACCCCAGAAATGGATTAAGGGAAGAAAAGAAAATGGATGGATGATGGACTTCTCTTTTAAGGAGTTTTTAATCACCTGGAAGGTTGGACTTTCTCCACTTTCTCTCTGCTCTCCGGCACTCTTTGTTTTTGGCGTTTTTTCTTGTGCCCTGACCGGGCTGCTTTTATCCATGGGGCCTTTTTGCTTTTTGGGGACCATTTTTACATTCACAGGGGCAATGGCGTCCTGAATCATCATCACACTAGAGGTGACTGGTATTATAAACCAGTTCATCTACAGTAGAACATGATGTGTTCTCAATATGGATCATTCCCATATATTAGTTCACCCGTTGTTTTCATTTAAGTTGTCTTATCTTCTAACAATTTCTTATTTAGCGGGTTGGTCTGGGTAGCAACAATACTTTACTCTTGTTTATAATAATACACAGATTTTTGTCATTGCCATTATCCACATGAATATTAAAATCACCTGTAATCACTAAACTATCAAAATCGGTGCAAACAACTGAAAGCAAACTCAGTGAAATTATCAAAGAAATTGTGACAAGACTGCGGTGGCTTGTACAGGACAATGATAAGAATAGAAGGAGATTGTTTTTGTTCTATTTTAAAAGAAATATACTCAAATGATAGAAAATTTCCAAGGAGAATTCTATGAGAGATAATACGATCTCTAAATAATGCAGCAATGCCTCCCCCCCTTTTATTTTCTCGTATTTCAGATTCAAATTTGAAGTTTGGTGGCGTTGCTTCTATTAAAACCGCATTACCTGTACTCTGGTCAAGCCAAGTTTCAGTCAGAAACATAAAATCAAGATCATAAGAACGGATAAAATTATTAATTAAAAATGATTTGTTGCACAGTGATCTGACATTAAGCATAGCAATTTTAAAATTAATATCAGTAACAGTGGGTTTAGTTAATTGATTTTTACAAGGAGCAGGAATTAGATTTGAATGTCTAACTGCTGTCCTTCTGTTATGATTTTGTTTTCCATTCAAATAAAAACATTTTTTGAAACTGATGCGAGGAACACACACAGTTTCTATTTGTCTAACATGTGAACTCTTTTGCTGTGTAAGTCCCGGATTCAGGACGGCATTGCTTCGTTGTTTAGAGCAGGAGGCAGCACGGTTCAGAGGCGAGACTGTTATTTCACTGCCAGACGGAAAGGGGTCAGTGTTTGCACCACAGTACTCACCCGGTGCTGGTGAGCAGGAGAAGAAGGAGGAGGGTGGTGGTGGTGGGGGCTCCGATGTAAACAGTCACGCCCCCCTCGGGGAACACTGAATAACGTGGCGTAAGTAATCCGTCAACAAGCTGGTGCCATATCTATTTGGGTGCAGACCGTCTGGACGATAAGCCACGTGACGCTTCCAGAAAAGGCCAAAGTTATTCACAAAAATAAAGTTAAACGAGCTACATGTAGACTGGAGCCACATGTTGAGCGCCACTACGCGACTGTACAAGCAGTCTCCCCGGTTTACAGTCGGGACTGGACCAGAGATAAAAACACACAACCCGGAGGACTGGAGAAGGCGGAATAGATCCATAAAATGCTTCTTTGTGACCTCGGACTGCTGCAGCTTCATGTCGTTGATCCCCACATGCACGATTACCTTTGAAATGGTATCAGGCAGGGACTGAAGCAGAGGAGGGAGACGGATGAGCAGGTCTGGTACAGTGGCTCCGGGAAAACACTGAGTGACCGCGTTAAAAAAGCGGACGTGTCTCACGATGGAATCTCCAACAATCAAAGTAGTCGGGGCGAAGAGTGGACGTAGCCGCGGAGAGGG